CGGATCTTCCTCTCCAATTGAAGATCCACTTGTATCTTGTTTTTTCTTTCATCAAACTTTCAATAAAAAAGTGTTTGTGTGTTTCATTCCTGATTTTTTTTAGTTGGTTTTCTGAAATTGGTTGAGGACTGCTTGGGTATTTACTGTTTATGTTTTGCTTTAAATAGGTGATTTTCCTAGGGTTAGGGATAGGTGTTATTTGCGGAAATTTGATTGTTCTTAGGATTTTTGGGCTCTGATCGGCGGCTAGAGATTTGGGAGAGCCGGATCTTCCTCTCCAATTGAAGATCCATTGTATCTTGTTTTTTCTTTCATAAAACTTTCAATAAAAAGTGTTCGTGTTTCATTCCTGATTTTCTTTTCGTTGGTTTTCTGAAATTGCTGAAATCAGATTTCAGCCAAAACTTTTCCTAAATTTCTGCAAGCACTTCCTATCACCTATGTACTGTAGAATCTTTCTTCTCCTCATTATCATGCATCAATTATTCACTCTCTCACCCTAGATTTCAACTAGCTGTTGTGATGATGCTGATCCTGCCATGGATTCTCAAATCAATGATATTGGATGGGTTCACACTCTATTGAGATGGTCTCATATACTCCTATGTAGAGGTTGGCATCCTTCTTTAACTAGCCATGAGGCTAGGTTGTGGAAAACCGTGCCTTCCCATGTCCTCATGCGGACAGGCATGCAATGGTAATAGTTAATGAAAATCCTAGATGTATTGCATATAGCTACCTTCTCATCATTCCCATACATTTTTCCAAGAAACAACTGATATTATTGGATTTTTCTTTTAACTACTCTCATTTGTCTTCACAGAGTGCATGGATTCATACGATTTCCAGCATTTGTATTCAACTATTCATAAAGATTAGATTACTCAACCAAAATTTAAAGGAACTTTCAAAAGATAAAATAGAGGACCAGACCATGACTTAGAACCCCTGCCTTATGTGGAGTTTCCAATATACCTTGCTGCCATTTGCCTCGGTTGATCTTGTGTTTCAATTGTTTCTAAAATTCTCTAAACTTGTAATATATCTATTGCTTATCATTAGTAAACCTGGAGTTTTTTTTTCTTAAATTCTATCAACCCAATAAATTTAAAACATTAATAAGCCATAATTAAATCCTATAAAATAAATTATTGAACTTATCATATTAGGGCTATATCAATTATTGACGCTTATTCTTTCTGTTGTCTTTTTGTATTATTTTTCTGGAAAATATCGGGTTGTTTTATACTTATGATGGATTCCTTTTCTTGGCAGGCATTGCCCTTATGTTTTGGAGGCTATTACGGCACTGGCTGAATTAGGTGTTTCATCTAAGGAAATTGTGGCACTTTTTCCTCAGGTTTGTGATTTAAAAGTTCAGTCATAGTGTATGCGTGTGTTCTCTCTTGAATTTAATTTCTCATTTTGCTGAAATGTTGAAATGGATAAGATGTTTTTTGTCTGTACATGGTTCTTTGTAAGAAACTTGGGTGAGACTGTTGAGTACTGTGTTGAATTTTATCTTCTTACAGTATCTCTTAATGAAATAATTCACAGTTGGCCTTTTTATAGTACCAACGGATGCCATCGACTTATTTAGGGTTTAGGTATTATTATGTTTTGCTTATTGAACAATATAATATTTAAACCATTTATTGATGAACTTTTCATATCTGTATTTAAATTCTGATGAGCTTTTTTGGCATAATGTGGGTCTATGTCCTATTAAAGATGGACTCACCTCAACTAGTTAGTTGCCTATTATCTGATGTAGCTTCCTCGTACTAAAAGGATAGGCATCATGTATATATTTGTAACTGAAATTGACCGACTGACTGATGTTCTGAATTGAATGCTGGTAAACTTCACAATAGTTCTCCGACTATTCTTATATTGGCCAATTTTATTCTAAATTATCACTTTGCTCCAATTTAGTCCCTTGATTATACAAAATTGATCTGAAATGATCCCTTTGGAAGTAAATTAGGATCAATCTTGTATTGTTGTGGGACTAATGGGATCAATTTTATATCACAATTATAACATGAGGACCATCTTGGATTAATTTTGTATTGTCGAGACACTAAATTGAAGTAACATGATACTCTCAGACTAAATTGACTGCATAATAATTTGGGTTTTATTTTAATTTTTTTTATTTGGTTATAAAACAAGAAGAATTTAGGCCTATATATTTTGTGATATCTTTTTTTTTTGCATGAATGTGTTTTAGGAATTACTTTGGAGTTCACGCTTTGTATTTTTAAGATGTCGTTTATTTGCAATTTGGTAATCTTTGGCTTTCTTTCTTTTTTCACATTGTTTATTGGGGATACCCTTCTAAGCAAGATATGTAACTAATAAATATCTGCAAGTTAAAATGATTATTTGCTTGCTAGTGCTGCCTTGTGATGGTACTAATAAAATTTTGAAACCTGTTGTTAAGAGCTATTCTAGCTATTGCAAGTTAGTTACTATTCTTATTAAGCACCATGACAAATTTTGAGGAGCGTAGTATAAGTAATTTATATTATTTTGAAGCAGTAATTTGAGAAATGTATGTCCTTGTTAGATCTACATAGTTTACACTCAATTTATTCAGCTGTGAGCTTGGAAGCATATTTCAGACTTCATGAGGTTTTAGATGATTAGGAAATCCATCAAATGAGAACGATCCACATTTGATTCCTAAACCATTTTCATTGTGCCATGCTTTATTATTATTCCCTATTTCTTCATGGGCTTCCAAGTTATGAATGTACTTCACTAGCTGAATGATTTTGTTGTCTACCTGTCAACAAATGAATCCACAATGAGAGGTAGGACAGACAGGAATGGCATGGAAATTCCTCGGAGAGGAACCTTAAAGGTCTATTTATCAAAGTAAAGGCACCTTAATGGAGTTTTCTTGCTGTATATGATTCCACCTCTCTGTTTTTAGCTTGCTCTCAATGTGCACAGCAAATTGGTACACCAAGTCTCAACGCTAATTTTGAGTACCCCTAATACTTAAATGGTAGAGTAACTGTTGTTTTGCCACTGTTCCGCACTTAAAACCACCTAAGCCACTGTTGGCATCACTTTATTCTGTCATATTGGACAATAACTGATGGGGACATCGGAGCTTGGAAAGTCTATCAGAGATGTGGCCGTCGATCTACGGCCACGATTGAGTTGATGTACTTTTGAGTCATATTATATATTTTCTTTATTATTTTATGTTGTATTTGCTTTATTAGTGTTTTCTCTTTTACCCCTTAAGGGAGGTCGTATGTAAGCCCAACAGGCATCGCCGTCTTTTTATTTTCTTGAGTCATTTGTACGAGGCTATATATAGACCCTCTTGTTCTCTTTTCATGGAAATGATTGAATGATAAAAATTTTCCTCCATGTTTGAGTTCTTATGAGAGCTTGAGAGAGATTGGAGCAAGGTCCCTTGTAGAAGGAATTTGGATAACCCACCAACCTTGGAGACGGCCGGGTTCGCGGTTCTTCTTCTTTATCGAATTTTCCTTTTCTCTTTTTCATCTAGCCGCCGGCCTAAGGTCTCGCCCAATCCCTAGGCCGTTGGCCACCTAATCTCCCCACCTACCCGCCGGCTTCACCACACCACCACCCCTCAACCAAAATCCCCATAAGCCTCCAACCTAGCCGCCAGCCCCTCCCACCTCACTCATCTTCCCTCCACAAATTCAAATCCCTCTTGAATACTTTTCATAAGCAACCACTCTTAATTTAGGAAGGTTTAAATTCAAAATTCAAAATTCAAAATTATTTGAATTTGAAATCCTTTCCTAATTTATGAAATATATTTTAGGAAAGTTCCTAAATTAAATCCTATTTGAATTTCAAATTAATTGGGATTTAATTAAAACTTTCCTAATCTCTAAATCCCAAATTAGCGACCCAAATCACTCCCCACAATCACCTCCTAGCCCATTAATGCCGCCGACCCCCTCTATAGGATTGAATTAGAAATTCTTTCCTAAAGCCCACCTCCCTCCCTTGGAAATAATTCAAACTCCTTCCCCACCTCCTTGGCCGAAATCCCCCATGTCCCTTCCTATTTAATTTCTTTCCAAAGATCCTCCCTCTTCTTTGGAAACAAATTAACTCCCCTTCCCCCTCTCTTGCCGCCACCCCTCCCTCTTGTTTTCTCCTTTAATTATTCTCAATCAAGGATTAATTAAGGAAATGTATGACATGCTTCCCTCCACAAAAATCTTAAACAAGTTTAATTCCCCTCCCTCCTTCATTGGTCGTCCACCCCCTCTTCTCCACTTCAATTTTGAGAGAAACTTCTTTCTCTCTAGCGGAGCTTTAAAGGGTTGACATTGATCTTCGGCTACACATCATCCTTCTAAAGCCAATGAATAGCCGATCTGGAGCTTGATTACGGATTTGCTTACGACGATCAAGGATCCATTAATGTCCTCCACTCCACCTTCGATTTCAATCCGGAAGTTGATCGTTCCATCGAAGAGTACGTGGACCGCATTATTTTCACGCTATCGGAGGTCATCGACAAGCAACTTGCCGGTGCCCAGTGGCAAATCATCGCCGAACCTTCCCAAGGGTGAACTTCTTCCCCTTTTCATTTACTTTCCTAATCCCCTAATCTTGTTGGTGGTGACAAGTCACAAGGAGCCGTGTTTCGCCTTCTGCTTAAGCTTAATAAACGTAGGATTGAGTGTGCTTTCTATGTTACTTTCTTATTGTTAGATTAGAGATTTTTGTTGAAAACTACTTCATTCGTATGTTGTTGAATTTCGCTATTGTTTTGATAATTCAAGCGCTTATTATGTAACTTGGGCTAAATGATGTGACCGCTCTTACGTTTTCTCTTTTCGTTTTAACTTGCTAATAGCCGTAATTGTTCTTGTTCTTTTCAAAATCGTGCAAGTTCTTAACGCATTCATTTATTGTAGTCCTACATCAATAACGCTAAGCGCCAAGTTACGGACTAGCTGTTGATCAACCATGTTGCTAGTCTAATGTCCATTTTGGCTTTGTTGGTTGCTACTAGCCACTGAGGTCATTTACACTACCTTGTTGTTGAGCTCACATAAAACAATTACCTCATCCCACCCGTCCAAAGAAAGTTATCAATGCAAGCAGGAGAAAGAGAACTTGGGTTATTGGTTGTCAACGTTAGAGTATTCTGACTTTTTCATTGAGCCTTACGGACTTACCATTTGCAAGTAGGTTAATTTAAAATCCGAGATGAAGTGTTCTTAGAGTTTTATTTGTATAAGCATATTGAATGATGGTAACAAAAAAATAAATATATGGTAATTATGAAAATTAATTATTTAATATATGAATATTCTGATTGTCATATCCTAGGAGTTAAGGCATGGTGTATCTCTTATCAACCAAGCCAAATATATTTGCTGTGATAGTCTTAACGGGGATACGCCTGAAAGTACAAGTAGCTTACTTTTAGGCCGTACTATCATGTTGTGCTTACCTTTCCCAGTCGTGCTGAAATTTGTGTTAGTTGATTCAAATTCCACGCTAATTAAAAAGACTTTTTACACTAACAGTTATTTTGAGTTTCTGTTGTGTTTTCCGTAGAATATACTTTCTGGCATTGGAGACATTATTTAACATTGCTATATTGATTAATCGATTTCTTTGTTTGTTATTTTTAGACTCCAAATAGAGGAAGGACCCCTTTTGAGCACTTGGATAACACGCGCTGGTTGCATGTAAGTAATGTTTTATGTTTTATCTTATGGCTTTAATAGTACCTCTCTCCTGTGGTAAATTCAGAATAAGAATTTATGACGATGAAGTAAATATACAAATGCATTTCTAAAAAAGGAAATACTAAGTTCATTGTTGCCTTTATTACTCTTCCAGAATTTTCTTGCAATACTTATAAAACTGCTCAAGGACTAATGCATGGAATTTTTTGGGAATATATATATATAACCTAACAAAATCATTCTTCAAGAATACACAAAATATTCTCCCAAATGGAAATATTAATGTTTCTTATGTTAACATGGTCCTCCATTAGCAAACTAAATGTGAATTGGGGAATTTTCTGCTATTATTTTTCTTTTGTTTAGGTGGAAATATAAGTACATGGGGAACTATTTGGAATTATCATGGTGTCTTATTCCGTTAGTTATCAGTTCACTTATAGTTCATATAAAATATTTTTCCGATTCTTCCTTACACCAGCCTGGGTGAGTATACTGTTATGTTGGTGGTTCTGGTTTGTCTTTCTTGGTTCCATGGTGCAACTGCTGCCATATCCAGCAATAGGCATCATTTGCAGTTTTGATTCTTAGAATACAAGAGCTACCATGATGGTGTCAATTCCCACGTCAATGTGGTGCTCTTAATACAGGTCATTCAACATGGCATGCATGGTCCAAGCCACCAATGAAATTCCAGTTTCTATTATGTACCTAATAATTTCTTAGGCGCATCATATTCTTCGTGGGATCAAAAAATTAATGTTTAGGCTTTGCTAAGAAAGTTTTTGGTGTTCTAGGTCGAATTTCAAAACACAGATTGGATTATAGATAAAACACTACTGGGAGATGTCATCATCATTTTGCAAGGACTTTATGATATTGTTCCATATTTCCTATAAGTGTAAGCTCTTATGGTTTATTAACCCCCATAATATCAACAAAAAACTTTTGATTAAGGTTAGTTGTTAGAAACTAAATGCTTGCCATATAGTGCCAACAAATTTGATTTAGGGTTGAGAGTTTACCACCTTAAATTTAAAGCTGATGGTGGGGAATGATGACGAACTCGATAACGATCTTATAGTTTTGTTGCCTTGAGTTGTCATGGATTATGGTTTACTTAGTTAACGGAGGTGGTCGATCCAACCTGACCAACTGATCCTTATCGACAATATAAGTTTTGTTATTCAAGGGGATCTTTTAGACATAGGGTAAATGCTTGTCTAAGAGGATAAACTTAAGTCTATCTTAGCTAATGGATGGTTTTGTGACATATCAAATGCACTTTATGATTCACGACTCAGAGTTTTTAAATGGTTGGGAAACTTATGGTCACTGGCCATAATTTATTTATATTATTTTGCAATAGAACCATTTGGGCAAAGACTTTCGGCTATAGACATATACTTGTGATGTTGTTTGGTGATAAAGTTATCGGTTAGAAGACATGTGCCTTACTGTCATAAGATCGTTTGAGAGTTAACATAGCAATACACTCAACAAGGCATTGATTCTTTGTGAATTGAGATTATCCTTGAATATATTACCATTGAAAAACAGCTGTTGAGGGATGAATTTTACTTATGATTTCACATTTTGTAATTTTTTGAGATTTTTTTTATTTTTATTTTTTTGAGAATTTAAATTTTATATGTGGATGTGGCCTCAAAGTGATTTGTACTGAGATTTGGATAAAAAAGTAGCATAATATGAATGTAATTGTTGTAGTGATGAGGATGCTTAGGTGGATGAGTGGTTTTACTCTTAGAGACATGATACAAAATGAGCATATACTTGAAAAGGTTGGAGTAGCTTCAGTGGAAGATAAGATTAGATAGAGTTTCCTTAGATGGTTTGGCCACATAAAATGATGGCCTTCCGATGACCCGGTTAAAAAAGTAGATGTATTAGATTTGATTTATGTTAAGAAAGGTAGAGGTAGACATAAAAAGTCTTGGTTAGAAAATATTAGAAATGACATTTATTTATTAGATTTAGATGAGAATTTGACTCTTAACATGACAATGGAGAAAAATGATGTAGCCGATCCCACATAGTGGGATAAAGACTTTTTGTTGTTGTATATTGCCTCAAAGTGGTCTGTACTAAGATTTGGTGGCATTTTAAGAGATGTAGTTCTCTTCGGTTGATTTCTTTTATCAACACGACCATCGTCCGGGTTTTAAATGCATTCATTTTGTTGCTTGAATATTGTGCGCTTTACCTGCGTGCTAGTAAAAGGATTGGGTTTATAAATTAGTTGTATTAGTTTTCATATAGGTGGAATGACTTTAGCAATTCATATTTTATAGTGAGTTTCCTTTATATGAGGTATTAAATGTCTAATGTGAACGCAAAACAAATATTTTATCTTTTTCGATTTGTTGTGTAGAAATCTGTTAAAGGGTTCAATTCTTGCCTACTCCAAATCTTGCAAGGAGGATTGCATTTGAAATGTGGATCTTATGACATTACCCTATAGACAAGCAGGCCTGGTCAAAAGTGTATTCATATTCCTATGTAATTCCTTGTTTCTCGCTACTCAAAATGTGTTTCATTATCTCATGTGCAGGTAAACTGTGTTTCACCTTTGTGTATTGACCTATGCAATATGGGTGTCATTTTTGAGAATTTTCAACAAAGTTGTAAAACCCAGACCGAACATAGAACTAGAAGAAGTTTAAGGTTCAATGTTTCGAGCGGGTTAGACGTAATAAATTTTAAAACTATTTATATGATATCTAAATGATATAATAATAATTTAATAATATAAATTTATGAGTAAAAAATAAATAAAATTCATATACAAATAATTATTCCATAATTTTAAATTTAAACTTTGTATTAGTATTGTTTATATAAATTTTTTTGTTTACATGAGTAGAGAAGTCACATGGGATGGTGGGAGCATGTGAAAAAGCTTGGTTGGTGGTTATTTGACAAATGATTATTATAAAAATTGATTGCTCATTTTAAAATTCAAATATATTAAATTTAAATTATTTAAATTAATTATTAATTTAAATTTATTTAATTAAATATATTAAATTAATTTATAATTATATAAATGAGATAGCAAATAAACTGACCAATTTTTAAAAACTAGCATCGATTTGTCTGTTAACAGGTTGAACTGTCAGTTTGGCACAGTTGAGGTCGGTTCATTGTGAAACAGGTTCTTATAAATTATCAAATCAGCCAGCAAATTGGTTCTTAGTTCAATTGGTTGAACTGGCTAGATCGGTCCAGTTTTTAAAACATTTATTTTCATTCTAAATGTATTAACATAGTCCTTTTTGCAAATGATGACATTTGAGTAATTTTTGCGCGACATCACTTTCATTGTTTGTAGTTTTTTCATAATATGACTATTTGCTGATACGAGAGATCCTTTCTAGGTATTTTTGGTTTTATGAACACATCAACATAATTTATTTTATGAAGCGAGCAATGTTTAGCAGTTTTGCACATTCATCATTTGCTAATTTCACCATGTTCGATCAAATTGTGTGCAATGGTCTCCATTAGTTATTTTAATGCCCCGGACACATCGATGCCATCAGCTTAATAACTCAGGCTTTGAATGATGATTTCAATTCGTGCAATTTTGCATATGATATTAATACTTATTTCGATTGACTTGATTTGTAGTGCTTTGTGACGCATATGCATTGGTTAACATCCTTATGTGATCCATCCTAGCCTGCTCCAATTTCAAGAAACTTAGAAGTCTTACATATTGAACACCGCGACTTGCTTATAATTGACTTAACTTTGATGCATGATTAAATAATTTGTGGAGCTGAAATTTAATTCTCTTTTTAAATCCTTGTGTAACTCCCCTTTGCATCACATCAGAAACACTGTTGCATGTCTTTGTTTTTTTATGTTCTGTTCATCTCTGACATCTTTACAACAGTTAGCTACAGTGCTAATATATATTTTTTCTTGCAGCGGTATGTTGAGGCACAATGCTGCATTGCTTCTAATGATTACAAAGGTATGTTATATTTTGGACACTTATATTTACTTCAATTCTTTGCAGATTATCCTATTGGAATTTTTTGTAATGTAGAAGCAAATGAACAATTTAAGTTGACTTTAATGTAAACACTTAAATGATTATTGGAGACGTTACATCATTTATTATAAGTTCAGGAAGTTTATCTTGTGAACATGCCGTGATGAAATTCAAAATTTGCTTAAAGATCATCAAGCTTGATTGGTTATTAAATAAAAGTTAGCATACCCTGAGCATCAAAATATCACTGGCCTGGGTCATGGGAGGAGTTGATGTAAGCGACTTACTACTTATATTTCGAGGAAGACTATTTTTGTCTACTAGCTTGTGACCTCTGAATTACAATGGAAGGAATGAAATTACTGCTCCAGGCTTGCCCCTTTGCTTCTATTTTAAGTTTATTTCATGTTTTTTATTAATTTTTATATGATTTTTTTTAATGTTTACTTCTAACTTATCCTATTCACTCTTCATCAATCCATTACATAAAAATCTATTAAGTGTTTGCTGGCGAAACACTGTTTTAATTAAAATAATCCTTAAATGTCTTCTTGCATCCATAGATCAAGTTTACACACTAAGTTTAGCCAGGACGGTCATTCTGTAGTTAATTAGTGGCATATTTTTTAGATTTGTCATTTTGTATCCGTTTCACTGATTGTGGACTAAATCAATGTAGAAGAATCGTCCACTGGCTATGCACAACCCTTGATAAGAAATTATTGCCCAATGTTAAGTTGACGTAATTTAAAATGTGAGTTGTTAACTTTCAAGATAGGTTACAAGGAAGTGAAACTAGAATTCTTTAGTTGAGATAGATCTAATGTGATAAGATGGCTAATTACATTAAAGGGATTGTCATAAAAGTTTTAGGAGAGTGTAGAAAATCTGTTGTACATTGATAAGGTGAATTTATGGAGTGAAAAAGAATAAAAAAGTTATTAATGAAAAAAATATGCTTTTGAAAGGGTGACAAAAATTGAATACCGTTGAGTTTTATAACAAGTATATGAAAGCTAGAAGGCTTGCAAAGAGTGTTGTGAGCAAATTAAAAAACTATAGTTTTTGACAATGTATATTAAAGGCTTGTTACTATGTAAGGAGAAACAAAGATAAATAGAATATATAAGGTAACTAATATGAGATTTAGAGATTTCAATCAAGTTAGATGCATATAAAGTGAATATAATAAGATCTTGACTAAATGCATGTCATTAGTGAAAGTGGGAATGCTATTTTAAGAAAAAATTAAAAGAGAATTTTAAACAAGAAGCTAGTTTGAAGAAAACATTCCGAACAATGTAATGAGCTATAATACAGATTGATTCATAAAGAGTGAAGTGAAATTAGCTTTGAAGATATGCATAATGGTAAGAGTTGAGGTTCCGCATGAGATATCCATTGAGTTTTAGAAAAAAAAAGGGGCTTCCCCAGAAAATACTTTGGATGTCTTGATAATTAGTGATAAAACACTTTTGTAGGTTGTGGTGTATGTCACAGGCGCTATAATCATTTCTAGTGAGCAAGATGTAAAAAACATGAACAAGTATGGGAAAGTCTTAGGTTTTATGTTTGAAGTTGATAGAATGGTTTCTGTTGTTATTATGAAGGCCAATCATCGCAAGAACCTTAACAAAGTTTTCAAACCGGGCTTGTAGATTCTATTTAAGTCCATAGATAGCCTTCTTCAGTAGGCATATTGCCATATACGACCTTCCTTTTTGCACAAATTACCCAAGAGGTTGTTCATAAAGATCACCATAAAGGAAAGCATCACACATCCATTGGTAATAAAATTCAGCCTTGATTGATGGCCATAGAGAGGATAATTCAAGCCAAGATAAGTCTGACAACTAAAGGTATATTGTTAGAATAGTCCACCCCATAGATTTAAGTAAACTTCTGGAAAGTAGCCAAGCCTTGTATTGATTGATGGAGCGATTGGCATGATGAAATTCAATTGTGATGCCCCCATCGAGCAATTGGTTTAACCCAGAAGGGTGTGAGGAAACCCAATTCTATATATGGAGATTAAATAGGGTACTCTTCTCGGCATCCATAGCATCTTTCTAGAGAAGGCTTTACAATGCTTTTTGATGTGCCCTTGAAATATATGTAGAGCATACGACAGGGTATATGTATGAAAATAAGAAAGATTGTCCAATGTTTTATGATAGTAAATATCATGAGCAACATATTATCATTTACCTTCTGTAGGGTAGTTGGTAAGTGAAGTACAAAGAATTCATCATCAGATGAATGCACAGCTGAATCTATTGTCGATAATAAACCTGTAATGAGGTAGACATAGGAAGAGGAACTTTTTAAGGAAGAGGAATAAGAGGTGAAAATATGTTTGAGGGAGAAAATAAGTTTGTGGTCTCATGAAATGTAACTTTATCAAGTGTGAATAAACATCTGGTTTATAATCATATCATTGTCATCTCTTTTTGAGTGTGACAACACCCAAGAAATATACATTGAATGGCACAAGGAGAAGTTTGTCATGTGATCGAAACATATGAATAATGCTAGTATAACCAAAATTTTAGGCTAAAAGTTATGAGGGAGTGGCGATGAAACCCAATTATTAATAGGAATAGGATAGCTAAAGTTGTTGATGTCCTTTCATATGAAACATTAAATTTCAGGCAATATCGAGCAAATAATGACTTTCATGTTCAACCATACACTATGCTGAAATGTATAGTAGCAAAATGTTTGATGAATAATACCCTTGTTAGAATAAAGTTTGACACAAATATTGTATAATTTCCAAAGCATTGCCAATGTATCAAGTTTTGATTAATGTGGAGAATTAGACTTTTATTTCTTGATAAAATGTTTGAAATACATGCAGGGCTTTTCGTCGAATTGTTAGTTGCTTTCACTGTATATTTGATTGTATTGATGATTTATAAAAGCTCGATATATCATTAAAATGATAAATAGGTAATTCTTCTATATTTAAGTCTAGGGCGTTACAAAATAATCATCAATGAATGCAATAAAATATTATAATCTCAGGTAAGAATCGAACTAGGACTACAAATATTTGAGTGAAGAAGATCAAATGGACGATGTTAGCAATTAGTAGTACATGTAGGAAAGGATACACAATTATGTTTACCCATTTTACATGCATGATAGTTAAAATTGGAGAGTGAAGAGATGAAATAATCCCAAAGTTTATTAGGAGGATGAATAAATTTACAATGCCAATGATATGGAGTAGCGGTGGAAGAGAGAATGAAAGGAGCATTTTTGGTCAAGTTGTAGATGTCGGATTGAATGCCTCACTAATTGTCTTCCTCATGCTGAGATCTTTAAAGACACAATTAGAGTGAAAAAAGATTATTGAACATTTATGAGTTTGGGTAAAGTGGTGAATAGATATTAGATTGACAACAAATTTCGGGATGTAAAAAACCTTTGAAAGATAGATTTAGAAGGATGTATGATACTTTTTTCAAAAACAAGAGAAGGGAGAATCATCAACAATAATGATTGCTAGTGGAGAGATGATGGGGACATCAGATCGTGGAAGGTTTATTAGAGGGTGGCCGCCGATCTACAACCACGATCGAGTTATTGTACTTTTGATTCATGTTATGTTTGTTTATGTATTTATTTTTATTTTATTTCCCGTTGTACGCTTCTAGTAAAGGGATGTCGTATGTAAGCCCCGAGGGCATGTTCGTCTTTTATTTTGAGTCTCTTATACTAGGCTATTTATAGCCCCTTGCTTATTGTTTTTGAGGGATGAATGATTGATTACAAAATTTTCTTCCGTGCATAAGTTCTTGTGAGAGCTTGAGAGTGAGATTGGAGAGAAATCCCTAGGAGATGGAAATCGGATCACCCACAAACCTTGGAGACGGCCGGGTTCATGGTGTTCTTCTTTATCCTTAGTCTTGCCCCTTCCACCTCCCCTACCGGACAACCTTGCATCTCAACCACCTCCATCTCCAAGCCAATGTCTCCTCCTAACCAAGCTCCACAAATTTTCCCCCACACAAACTGCCGGCCACCATATTCGAAAATAATAAACTCCTAAACCCGTTTGGCCGAAATTTTCAAAGCCCTCATACCTTTTTATTTCTTTCCAAACCTAACATTGGGTTTTGGAAATAAATCCCCAACCTCCCCCTTGCCGACGGCTCCTATCCCTCTCCCTTTCCCTTTTGAGTTTAGTTCAAATTCAAATATCCTTAGTTCTAAAATCTGAAATTACTTTCATATTTTTACTTCTTGGCTCCCTCATTAACTCTCCACCATAATTGAGGAGTTGAGAATTTCTCTCCTAGATCCCTCCCCTCTACTTCCAAAATCTGAAATTTATTTCAGATTTTGTCTTTGGTTCTTCCCTCCTTCAAGTTGCAAGAGAAACTTCTTTCTCTTCATCAATATTCAAGAGCACTATCAAATCTTGAGGAGATTTTTCACCTAGCCTCCATGAATGGCGGATGCAGAAACTGAGTACGACCTAACCTACGACGAGGACGGTTTCATAGACATTCTTCAATCTACTTTCTTTGACGTTAATACAAGGGTCGATCACACCTTCGAGGATTACATCGAGCGTATTCTAGACACTTTGGTGGAGGCAATTGAAGAACAGTTTGAAGGCGTTGAGTGGAGGATCTCCACCGACCCTTGACAAAGGTTCTCATTTTCCATTTTCAACATACTTCTTAAAGTCTAACTTTATTTTGTGCTTGATTGTAGTCATGAAGGACGATACTTCCTGCTTCTGCTAAGCTTAGTAAACGTTGGGTTTTGAGTGTGCCTCTATGCTTATTAATTCTCATTGTTAGATTAGATATTTTATTTTAAACTACTTCTCTGGCATCATGTTATTTTCTAATATATCTTGAAAGTTTCAAATCTCTGGTTATGTGATTTAGCCTAAGCGGGTGTGACCCCTTTATGTTTTATCTCATTGTTTTAAGCTGCTAAGAGTTTTCTTCATATTTTTATTCTAATCAAGAGTTGTGCAAATTCCTAACAAAAATATTGCATTCTTACGTAGTCCTACATCAAGAGGATATGTGAAGGCATGAAAAGTGCGGTAATCACCCATCATATAAGAAGCGACTCCTAAATTTAAAATTCAAGACATAGCAATAGAGACAACTGTAGCAGATCGAAATAAAGAGAACACAAGAGTTAGAGATTGATTTTTGTGATTGTTGAAGAAGGTCATAGTCTTCCTGAGAAATAGTAACCAATTTTTAGAGGAGACACCATGAGGGGTATGTAGATTAATATCAGATGTGGAAATATGATGAGCAGTGGAGGGCAATCAATTTTTTTCAAACAACATTTACGAGGATGATTAGTGTATCTGCAATAAGTGTAAGCGGAAAAAGTAATTTGGACACGACCTCAACCACAATCCTTCCACCATATCCGCGACTTTCCCTGCCACCCGTTGAGATAACAACCAAAGCTGATTGAGCAAGAATCAGAATGCTGAGTGATGGAAATCTTAGTGATGCGATGAACCTGGGATAGAGCAGTTAAAATATTAGGCACTTTGGAGTTGCACACAAGCATATCTCTTGCTGACGGGCTCAGGGTGGCGCAGTGAAGAGACATGCACAAGGGCAATGCACATGAGTATAATGCATGCATGCATAGAGTTGTGCAATGCATGTGTGCAAAGGGAGATGCAAGTTGCAATGAGTCACGTGGGCATAGCAGCACACGCGAACAATTTTGTTTAGGTTGGGGCGGCATTGATAGGACAGTCATTTTGTTTTGATACCATGTCGTGAAGAAATGATTTTGGTGCCTTATTGAATGAAATATGTACCTATAAATAGGCATACAAGAATGATACAAAAGAAAATAAACGAGAATGCATATTATTATGGTGGTATAAATGTATATCACCAAAAAAGATTTTCTAAATATGACTTTTCCGAATATTACTTTCCGTATATATGCTCTAATATATACTCACACAGACACACACCCAACATAAATTATTAATTAGAAATGTGGAGAACCAAATTTATTGATTATTATTGAGTACTTAATTATAATTTTATGATGGCTTAACCTAATACGTTGTGCTTTTCTAGGCGGCCTTGAACATTTCTCTGACCTATTGCAACGTTTTCCAAACAACGTGCACATATTGCTGGAAATTGCTAAGGTAAGTCATTTCCTTAAGAGTTAAATTGCTGTACTGGTAATCTGTTGAAAAATAAGCTTCGAAGCCTCTCTCTTGCCTTTCATTTTTCACATTCAAGTTATTATTTCATGTACATTTTATACCATATTTAAAGAGGATGTGTGTTTATTTTCCATATATGATTACCATTTGTATGTATGCTCTAACTTTGACATAAAGGTGTTAATGACATTAAAGTTCCGTCACGGAATGTCATAATTCATCCTGTTGGGAATTCTTTACTAAATAGTTTTGCATTCTCAAATGCATCTACATGAAGATTGAAGCTATCATTGGAAGAACCGAAGAAGCTATAATGAATTTTGAAAAGGTAAACCAATATTGAATTTTAGCCTGCGACCATGTAAAGTGGTCCAAGCTCTTTTTATTCATTTATGAAAAAAGGCTTTGTTTAGATTTACAGGTTCGGTCTATTGATCCATTTGTCATGACGTACATGGATGAGTATGCATTGCTTCTGAACTTGAAGTCTGACCACTCTAAGTTAAACAAACTAGTGTATGATTTGCTAAATATTGACCCAGCAAGAGCTGAAGCTTTTGTTGCATCATCTTTATTGTGGGAAAGGAAAGATGAACGAAGAGCCCTGGCTTATGCTGAGAAGGTTTAACTCCAAAGCTTCTCATCATTTATTCTAAAAGCTTCTTCTGATCTAGTTTTCCTACTTAAGCAAATTGTTTTTTGAACAGAGCATCCGAATTGATGATAGACATATTTTGGGCCACATAACAAAGGTAATTAGCATGCTTTTCTGCAGGATAATTGTTGAATTGAGGAGTGAGTTTTTGCAATTTCTATACAATTCATTGTTATTTTTAAACTTGCAATGCGTGTCCAGGGAAGACTTTTTCTGTCGTTAAACCGACCTGATACAGCTGTGACAGCCTTCAGGGCAGCTCTAGAGTTGAGACCTGATCTTCGCTCTTATCAAGGTCTTTGAATACATTTTCTACATTTTACACCATTGATTTGTAGATTTCTTTTTCCTGATGTATGAAATTTTGCAGGCTTAGTTCGTTCTTATTTGGCCCTTTCCAAAATAAAGGAAGCACTATATACAGCTCGAGAGGCAATGAAGATAATGCCTCAATCAGCAAAAGCCCTCAAACTGGTTGGTGATGTTCATGCAAGTAATTCTAGTGGGAGGGATAAGGTACGCATGCCTTTGATTTCATTTTAGGTCCATATAATGTTATGTTCTGAAGCTCACCTTTCAGCTAGACAAGTGACATTGGTTTAGTCTCAGCTAATCGTAGTGATGTCTCTGTTGTGAATTGGCTGTTGCTTATTTATCAATTGTGTTTCACCTTCTTCCGAAATTATGAATTATATTGTAAAGTTTTCAGTAAATAAATGGTTCATACTATGATTTCTGTTATTGTTTTTTTTTAATTTGGAAAGTGTCTTGTATAAATTTTCTAAAATAAGTTGCAAGGTACCTGTTAAATATTTCTTACTTGCTTAACATAGTAAACACCATAAAATGAAGAAAGTTTATACCAAATTATATCTATCACGCATCATCTTGAAGAAAATATCTTTGATTTTTGGCATTACAGAAGATTGGTTAACTGATGTTGATTTAGCTAGTCTTTTTTTTTGGGCGGCTAACTTTCTTCTGCAGTGTCAAGTGGATGCATTTATCTTTTCTATTCGAAAGATTTTTTATTCAAGGCATTTTATGATCATTGGATGACACTTCAGAAACATTATTGTTGTGCTGTATTAACTTATATTTTCTTTTTTGAAGGTAATAGGGATATTCATTTAAAATCATGATTTCGTCTCTAAAATTAACAGAGATATTCTGTTGAATCTCAAAATATGCATCAGCTTCCTGTAATTTTTAACTTGGTGGATGTGTGAAGTGGCAGCTTTGGGCTATCTGCCACACAACTTTTTGGTTGATTTGGGCTCTTTTCTTCAACTAGTTTTTTTTTTAACTTCCTTTTTTTCCCTGCATTCAGCTAGCATCAACTTTCTCCCTCAACAACTCTCTCATGTCACTCTCTCAATCTTTCCCTTTATGCGTGCACATTAGCATCACTTTTTAACAGAAAGGTTCTATTTTCTTGGTTTTTATTATATACTAATGTAAATGGCATGGGGGTCGGGGTATCATATATAATTATTTATTTAGGGTATCTTTCCTAGAAGGGTATTTTGGTTCTCTACTTGGTTGTAGGGTTAGGAATAGAGACACCGCATCTCTGACATTGTTGCTTGACTCATTGAGGTATTGGATGGATGGATGATGGGCTAGAGTTTGAGATCTTTATTGTTTGATTTTGGACTCATGTTGGATGTCTTTTAGATTGGTGTTGGGTGTGATTTAAGCTTGTTTATCAATTCTTGGCTGATGCGTCAAGATTGATGCTTGATTATATATGGACTTTATTGACTGCCTTCACGCATCTGAAGAATTCCGATGGTGGTGGCTGGAAATACTCTTTTTTTGTCCTACGCCCATTTTACAGAGACTGAAAAACACATATCTCAATATCATGATTTGCACCGCCTAGATTGGTTGATACTTTATGATTTTATAGGGATATGTCAGTTAATTTATTTTTTGCCTTGCAAAATAGTAATGGCTGAATAGAGCATATATGAGTAGTGGCGGCCTAAAAGGGCACCTACTTGCATATATTTTTGTTGGATTTTTTTTTTTTAGATACCACATGGCCAATTTCTTAATAATGGTTGTGTAAATTAACAGTTTCTATTGGCAGCTATTAACAAACAACAATTTGAATGGTTATGTTTTGGCTATTATTGATAGGAGGGCCACCACTAGCATTAGGGAGTGCTTATTAGTGTTGACCTTGACAAACCCATGTCGCATGAGCCCTCTTCATGCACTACCTCGGCCTTAACACCAAAATTATAAGGAAGTCCCGAATGCAAGTGTTCACCCTCAAGAAAAGATGGCGCTAGGGAATGAACCCTGCTTTCGTAAGCTTATAGGTCTCATTTTTCCCGAGGTAGATTGAATTTTTAACTTAACCAGATTTTCCCTAATGATCGACATTAAAGTTTATTTAATTTTGAGGTTTCACATCTGATGAGCGCAAGCCCTCGTTGTTAATTACCCCTTCTAATGCTTGGAAGAGCATTCTCGATTAAGGATGAAACTACATTTAATTGTGGAAGAAGTGTAAAGTGTGTAAGTGTTTTAGTTTTAGTTATGGGGGGAATAAAGGTACACCCGATCAAAATCCCATGGTTCCGTCATCCCAGGTATACCGTGGGTTTCACTCTACCAACAATAACAACCATTGATTGTAGTATCTAGAAAATCTGATTAGCAATCATGGGTTGCCTCCTTTCAGAGATCCCCAAGTAAACTGAAATGGATTTTAATTTTGTTTGATTTGGGTTAGAACTTACGGCTCTGCTTAAGAGTTGCCCGTTGTTTAAATTTAGGTTAGGTCTTATAATTCCATTTAGGAGTTGCATGTAGTGTAGATTTAGGTTGAGGTTTACGACTATCATTGAAAGTAACCCGTGTAGCAGGACTTACGACTTAGATTGAAAGTAGCCGGAGGAGCGACTCTTACAGCCTCTATTTAGAGGTTGCTCAAGTATTAAAAGCGGGTCTTACTATTTCACTTGAAAGTAGCCCAGGTGACGGGTCTTATAACCTTTATTAAGGGTGGCCCATAGAGGGGTCTAGGGTTAGGTTACTATCTAGATATTTCCCCTAGAGTTGGACTTACGGCTTCTCTACTAGAAATTGTCGAAAAGCGGGTTTTATAACTTAGCCCTATAGGCAAAGCTGCCCAGCATTTGGTGTTAATGGATTTTAGGGTTATTTTCCTAATGTATGAGGCTTACTGCTTCACTTAGAAGTAACCCATTGGTGTATGTTTAGGGTAAGTTGGACTATACCTATAGAAGCTCTTGTTTGTAGTTGTTTGCTAGTATGACACTAGATTATAGTTTTCAGTTGTTTACTAGCCCGACACTAATATTCTGCTACAGTACCCTATTTTTTTTCTTTAATTACTTTGCTTTAGCAGCTAGTTTCAGTAGTTAGCTTTATTATTTTTAGTATTAAATTTATTTACTATGTGAAGTCTTGAAAATTGCTTTCGGTGGCGAGCTTCCTTGTGTTAGCGTAAATATTAGATCATCTATTGGATGATTTGTGTCATTATTCTTTGTATCTACTTGTTTATTGATTGGCGTGTGTTTATGATTGAATTTTTATCAAGTGCTATATATGTTGAATTCTTTTAGTGCTGGGATCTTTAATTATTTTTGAATTTTATATTTGATCGTGATTTTCCTTGCGAGATTTAAATTTTGAGAATTTGCACTATTATTTGTAATGAAAAAACACATTGGTTATTTTTGCATTGAAGGTGACTTGAGTTTTGCTGAAGTTGATAGCATAGTAGCATATTATGACTTTATTTCTATTTTTTGTGTATTTAATTCTAGGTTTTTATTAAAAAACCCTGATCATCCTACATCAAATTAGAGAAAGAACAATGGCTATTAGTAGCAAAATTCGCAAAGGAAAACACAAAACGAAGTCAATGCAAGGAGCAAAACGAATAAATTTGATTTCAATGATGTTAGAAGGAAAAGTTGGAGGAAGCAGAGAGTGTCCCAGCACAATGTTTGTTACCTAAGTCAAAACTCCAAGCGCGGGGAGAAGGCGTCAATGTCTCTTGTGATTGCGATCGAGAAAAACACTGGCAGATGTGTGGGCTCTTAGAGGGAGACAAGTGTGCGGTGTGAATTTGTGGAGTGCACGGTCTTTTTTAAGTTATTTTCATAGCTTCTCATTTGATAGTTAGAGATTTGATTAATTGGCTAAAAGTTTTATATTTGGTGCAGCTGTAGTATTTCTGTAGAAATTGGATGATTATATTTTGTTTATGAAGATACGTCATTTTTCCAATAAAAAGCAATGGTGAAATTGGAAACTAAAAAGCAGCTTCTTCTCTCACCTCTGTCTCTGTATTTCTTTCTCCTCTTCCCACACATTCTCTATGACTCTCATGTCTTCGATTCGTTTGATTTCACCTTCTTACATCTCCATATAATTCAAAATTGTAGACCTCTTTCTGTGAATTCGTTTGGTCGCTTACCCCTCAAAAACTCTTTTATCATTTGTAATGAGAATGAACTGCAGTGTCGGTTCTTTTTGAGCCAGCGTTGCTGGTTCAGTTTGAACCTGGTTTAACAATATGTAGCTGGTTTGGCAATCCAAGATCCACTACATGCTACCTATTTTTAAAGAAAAGGTGCACTTTAACAGTTTAACTTAGAATCATAAATCTGCATAACGTGCGGGCTGCAATATGTGCACTCTACGTTGTTTTTTAGGGTTTAGACACATCATTTACGAACAAGTTTTTTAAGAATTCGCTTAATTCTTAGCATTATTTTAAAGTTGATTATTTGTGATTAATCTTTAGTTTACCTTCAAAGTCTTCCTTAAGTTAGTAGTTTTCTGTGGCTTTTTCTTGAAGGTTTCTTTCTTCGTAAAGGCTTTTATGTTGGTTTTGAAATCTGATTTTTTTTACTTGAACACATCATTGGCAATCTATAACACAGGCGAGGAAATTTTATGAATCTTCCCTGCGCCTAGAACCTGGATACCTAGATGCTGCTTTAGCATTGGCTGAGCTACATGTTGTTGAGGGCAGAACTAAAGATGCAGTCTGTCTTCTTGAAAAATATATTAAAGATTGTGCAGATGATTCTCTACACACCAAGTTGGCTCAGGTTTTTGCTGCTACAAATATGCTATCTGAAGCTCTCTCTCATTATCAAGCAGCATTGAGGTATGCAATCACCTTATATTATTGATTAAATATCCAGAAGAAATTTCCATTACTTGATTAATAAACTTTGAAGCAAGCAGTCTGTCATTTCAGTCTGATGAGTGCCCATTTCAATGTCCATCTTACACCAATGTCTCCGCTCCGTTTACATTCACTAGTACACTAAGGCTTTGTTTGGGACAGTTTTCTTACTGCTTCTTAAACCAGTTTTCAGTACAATTTTTTTTTAAAATTTTTATACTAGAAAGTTGCTTTAAGAAGCAGTAAGAAAGCCGTTCCAAACGAAGTCTAAAACATGAATCAATAATCTCGTGTTAAGCCATATCAGCCATAACACTCGAGCCATGTAGCCATATATATTGTCATTTTTGCAGAAGTTTCATAAACTGAAGTGGCACATGAATATGGACCATTTCCTTACAAGTTTAAAATATGCATTTTCTTCATTAGTATCTCCTGTTTACCTCAGGATAAATCCACAAAACAATGCTGCTAAAAAGGGTTTAGAACGCCTGGAGAAACAAATGAAGGTGAATCATGCAGCCCTTGCAGTTGTTCAAAGTATTTCCAGTTGATAAATCAATGAAATTTTCATTTTTCTTCACTTATTTTCGCAGGGCATAGATCCAGATGCACCTGATGAAGATGAAGAAAATGAAGTCGAAGATGCTGAAGCTGATCCAGAAGACAATGATCTTTTGTAAGCAACAAAAATTCTTTAATAGTTTGAGCTCTAAGATGGTGAAGCAGGCCCATATGAACTATCAGAAATCAAGCAAAGCAGCATATCAGAAGGGCTTGATCTGCTTTGCAAACCGTAGTAAGGCTTTATTTCGAAATATTTAAAGTGTTATTAACTAAAATATTGTATTTTGATAGTCTCTGCAACTGCTAAGAACTGCTCTTGCCAAGCTTGAATTTATAATGTAAGCAGCTTTGTATGAACAAATAGATGTCAGCTCCATTTTTTCCCCTCTATATACTTCTTTTTTTATTCTTAGAATTTGATCTCTTTACATCTACTACATATATATTAAGATATTCTATAATCTCATGCTTTTCATAGTAAATATTCAACTTATTTTCTATCAAAAAATTTAAATAATCCATTTGCCTCCGCCATTAAAATTCATATCAGAATCTTTGATTTTGATGATTTTTATCTAAGTTTAATTTTCAATCATGTCAGCACACAAAATATTAGGCTAAGGTATTTGTTATTATAATTATATTTCTTTTTTTCTTGTAAGAGCGAAATTTGAATATCTAGTTTAACATTTAAAATTATGATCAGTATTTAGTTGATGATTAGATCATGACACTGAAAAGTATATATAAATATTTTATCACAATAATAAATATTATTAATTGAGTAAAAACTCATCTTCAACAATGCTTTAAACTTTGAAAATTAAAGATAAAATTAAATAAAACATTGTAAGTACTAATTAATTTCCACACGACAGCAGCTAGCAATGCTAAAAGTTTAATCTATTAAAAAAGATTTTTAAAAAATGTAATTTTGAAATGATTAAATGACATTATTTGTTTGTTACTGACTTAAATTTCTAATGTTTATTAATTAATAAAAAATAAAATAAAACTTAAAGTACAGAACTCATCATAATTCCAGCAATCAATCTTTCAGTCGAAATCTATACAGATTTTTTAGTCAAAATAGAAAAGAAAGATAATGCCTTGTCTTGAATCTACATGTGGAAAGGTTTTCTAGGCGTTGGTGCCCTGTTCTCAAAAGAATGCAATCTTTGCTTCAGGTGAAAAACTTCTACCTGCAATAAACAAAAATTAACAGATGCATTGATTAGCATAATTATTTGTTTAATAGCTTTAAATAAACAATGAAATAGAAAAAGAAAACGAGATTGCTTTGGAGAACTCAGATTTTTAGATGCCTTTTAAAAAAAAAATTTATAAATCAAATTGTTTGCATGATTTAATAAATTGATGAATTTCTCTCTCTCAGATCTTAAATTCTAAAACAAATAATCAAACATGCATCAAATTTTAGCAAGAATTGAAATCAGTTCTCAGACTTCAATCCTATAGAGATTTTCCTAACGCTGAATCTACCAAATCTTGTTATATCTAAATCAAATGTAGTAAATTATTTAATTTGTGGTCTTAAGCAAGAATTGTGAAGGAAACTTTTATTAGCAAAGCCAATAACTTTGTTAAATGTGATGGAATTGGCTTAGTCATCATAAATCTACATTTCAAGATTTACTTTCCATGCCTCCATATTAATGGCATAAATCACCACTAGCTCTGCCCTTCATTAAGGCTTCATTTGGGATGGTTTTCTTCCTGCTTCTTAAAGTAACTTTTTAATATAAAATTAAAAATTTTTTTACTAGATAACTGCTTTAAGAAGTAGAAATAAAGCCGTCCCAAACGAAGCCTAAGACTACTCCTACCACCAAAACAATCAATTATGTGCTTCGATTTCCCATCCATCCTCTGTTCACGTTTTCACACTTCAAACACAATCCTTAAACACTGATATAGATATCTCAGTTAAATATTTGATGATCAACTTACCATTATCATTGCCAACCTATCCGACTCAGGCTTTGTTTGGAACAACTTTCTTTCTGCTTCTTAAAGTAGTTTTAAGAAGCAGAAAAAAGCCATCCCAAACGAAGCCTCAATCTCAAAATTGCTCTAGCATTTCAAACATCTTTTTGCTCCTCAAGGGCCAAGCTTGCCACTGCAAAGACTGATTGATCATTATATTAATCCTCCATTACAGTCCAAACTCATTAACATCTGTCAAATATCTACCCTCATTTTCAAAATGATGCCATTGAACAATTGGTAGTTGAAATGTTAGTTACTGGTTTGATTTTTCATAGCCATAGCCCATTTTCTACTCCTGCTCTGCTTGTAAAAAAGCATGATGATACTTAGCAATTTTGCGTCGATGAAAGATGCCCTAAATGCCTAAACTATCAAAGATAAATTTTCTATTCCACTGTTGACGAACTTCCATATGAATTCAATGGAGCCTCATTACTCTCTAAACTTGGTCTTCATTTTAGATATCATAAAGTTAAGTATCATTACACCATCATTTTATATCTAACTATGCTTCTATTGCATCTCCTTTAACAAACTTACATAAGAAATATGATTTTAGGTGGGACACTTAGGCTTCATTTGGGACGGCTTTCTTATTGCTTCTTAAAGTAACTTTCAAATACAAAAATTAAAATTTTTGTACTTGAAAGCTATTTTAAGAGGCAATAAGAAAGCCGCCCCAAACGAAGCCTCAAGCTCATCCTTCTTTCACTAACCTAAAACTTGCTATGGCTTCTACTCCGAACTTCACTTTACCTGAAGTTTTAAAAACCATCCATTATTGAGATGAATGCTTCCATTGTGGCAATCGGTGTTATTCTTTTGCACAAAAATCGTCCAATCTCTTTCTTTAACAAGAAATTAGGCTTTCATTTATCTCAAGTCCTCAACTAATCAACTTACCTAAAAGAGTTATATGCTATTACTGAAGTTGTTTGTAAATGGAGCCAATATATTTTAGGCACATAATTACTCATTTGCATAGATCATAAAAGCCTTCGGGAACATACAACTCTAAATTTACAAACTCCAAATCAATAACACTACATTTGCAAATTCTTATGTTTCACCTTTCACATTGAATATAAACCCGGTAATACAAATATAGTTGCTGGTTATTTATTCCGCCTGCTCGACGTCGATGAGACCTCCACTTCTTCTCTTTCTTCTTTTATCCATTAGTTACTAATTTCTTTTTCTTTTCTTAAAGATTTGAAATAGGAAACGCTTGCAGAACCGGATGTACTCCATATAATTTTGCAATTAGCTATGAGTTACTTCCTGCTTCAAATAAGGACAACCTCCTCTATTATAAAGGCCACATTTATATCAGTAAACATTTTGCTCTATAAATTATTTACTAATGGAATTTCATTTCATTCAACTCTTCTGGTACACTTAAAACCATCTAAAGACTTGCTGTAATTTTTTCTTGGCCTAGACACGTAAATAAGCTGTTGATTTCATCAGCAAATGCCTCATTTGTCAAGAAATTAAAATTTCTATCATGACACCCGTTGGCCTTCTCTTGCCTCTGGTCCCATCTCAAACTTGGGAGAATTTGTCCATGGATTTCATCACTGGACTCCTAAATTCTAGAGTTTACACTGCTATTTCACACCAATTTACTTGCCACTAGGGTCATTCATTAACATGATTTCCCTAAACCCATTGTGTCAGATCCTGAGAGCTTCTTCCCAAGCAATTTTTCGCGATGACTTTTTGCTCTTAATGGTACCACAGTTCATTATTTTTCATGACGATGAGAGTTTTAGGCAACAATATATCCAATTAGATCTCACTACAATACAGAATAAGTGGGAAGATTGGGTGAGAACTAATAAAGAACCTTTCAAAGACAGCAATACACATATCTGAGTATATCACCAAAGGAAAGCTCTTAATGCAAGTCACCATCCACACAAGGATGCCACGAAAGGTCCCAGCTGCAATTTTTAGACTAGCCGAATGTTCCAGTTGCAGGAATTAGCCTATAATTTATTTAGTTAATTACTTTTTATGTAATTAGCTTCTTTATATTCAACTTTACCCCCTTAAACCCAAACCAGTCCATCTATTAGCCCCAAACTTGTTCAACTCTTCGACCAAAGCACAACATAGTGTTAGTTCTATGTTTATAAAATCTTTCAAAGCTCTCTTAAGTTTAATAAAATCATGAAAGAATGTTGATACCTGAAGCTGAAAGGCTCTTGCTCTTTCTCCAGCAAGTACTCCCCTAGTAGAGTGCAGCTCCTGAATCATACCAAAAACATTTCAGCATCTGAAAACAGATAAAAGCTAAAATTTATAAAAATTTGAAAATTTGAAATTATGAACCTTTTGGGTATCATCTAAAACTGCTTTAAGAAAAGCTACATCATGCTCAAGCCTCACATTATCAGAGTGAACCAAGTTGGAGACACTATTTGCCTCTTCCTGAATTAGTTCCAAATTTGTCAACTTCTCTTTCAACAAATCAACTTCCTTCAGAGTGTCATTGAGCTTTTTCTCTGTTTCCTGCTTTCCTTTCAGAACTAACGACAGGTTTTTCTCAGTAGCTTCTTGATTCGCCAATGAAGTGGAAAGTTGCCCTTCGAGCAGGGCATTTTTCCTTACCAAGTTAGCAACCTTTGTTTCATACAATTGATAGATATTTGCCGGGTTCGAGAGAGGAACTGCTTCAACATCAACAGGTTCTGCCTGTGCAATGTGATCACTGCACGATGGGTGGCAAGAATCTCCTGGCTTCTGACGTGGAAGGGAATTATCACTGTTGAATATTACTGAATTCTCTTCTGAGGATGCTAGAATCCCTGCTATATCCACCTTAACTGTAGTTTCTTGTGGCTTGTGCATAACGTCCACCGCCTAAAGAGATGATTTGTTATAGTTATTGACAAGAATCTTCATAATAACATCGAGATACACAGGCATGTCAAAATGCTAAATGCTTCTAAAAAATAACAAAAAACATCATCAGCATCACAGAAATTAGTATCATCACAAATATAAAAAGTTAAATTTAGAATCATCCTTGGATTTTTGGTATGTGTTGTATGCAGTGTTTACTATAGTTTACATAAGAATTTAGAAAGATTGTGAAGACCATACTAGACATAGAACCGGAAGAACGAAAGGTTCAAGGTTCAATGGTTCGATCTGGCTTAAACCGAGAGTTGATATGGAAGATGTAAAAAATATTAAAACTTAAAATAACATATAAATAAAATAATAATGATGTAATAATATAAATATGTGATTAAAAAATAAATAAAATTTATAAACAAATAATATTATCTGTAATTTTAAATTTTAATTTTAAATTTAAATACCTTCAATTTTAAATTAGATTCATGTTTAATATAAATTTAGTTCACATGAAAACTTATAAATTTAATATAAATTATTATTAATCTATATTATATATTTAGATATAATCTATACCTATAAATTTTATACCATATACATTATAATTATTATATAAATTTTATTCTTATTAAAAAATTAAATATATATAATTTATAATAGATTTTTAAGTTTAATGATTTATTTAATATTTTATATAAATTTATTAAATTAATTTAAATTATTTAAATGGCTCAATTGAACCGAACAATTTTTGGAAATTGGGATTGGTTCGCCGGTTACCCAATTAAACCGGCAGTTCACTCCAATTTTGACCGATCCAAAGCAAAACAAATTTTGAGGTTTGAACGGGTTGGTTACCCGACCAGCTCTCAGTTCAACTGGTTGAACCACCTGGTTCGATCTAATTTTTAAAATATTGGATTTTAGCATTTCTTCTTGGTCATATTGCTCTTATTCTACTTGTTTTCTTTTACTCAATTCTTTTACACAGATGTGTTGCCCGCCTTATTGACTAATATTTTGTTGAACTCAAAATTTTACCACCAGATCTACACATAGCTGATAGAAAAATTGGTGAATCTCAATGCTCTATGCTTGCTTCTTTTCCTACTAGTTTTGTGTTGAGAGGGGTTGATATTTTATGCTAGTAAAGTATAAATATTATTAATGAGATAAGCATATGAAAAATAACAATTTATTAAAACAAAAAAAGTAGCATGAGAAAGATGCATTTTGGTTGATACAATAAGACTGATGATTTATAATAAAAAAGAATTGCATTGTATTTATGTAATAATATCTAATTAGTTTATAAGCAGGAGCTGCAACAAATTCCTTGGCCACAACAACATCAAGTCTTTATCACACTATGGGGTTTGCTACATGAATCATTTATCTTCATTGTGTCCTATTAAGATCAAATTCTTATTTAAATCTAATTAGAAGGAGGTCATTTTTAGTATTTTCTGACCAAATCCTTTAAGGTTTACCTCTGCATTTCTTAACATAGGTCTAATTTAGTACATCTACTCTCCTAATCGGGTCATCAGACGGCCAATATTTTATGCGATCAAATTATCTAAGACGATTCTCTAATCTTATCTGCCAAGCTCAATCGTATCAAAACCACTCTGAAATGGGATTCTTGGAGCAAGAATTGCAACACTGTTAGCACAGACCAAGGACAATCTAGATTATTGATGTAGATCTTTGGGGTCCTTCAGTCATGGGATTTACCCATTATCAGCCTTTGGTTGTTGTTTTCTCTTTTTTGGAATTTCCAATTCCCTCAGCTTCAATTCCTTGGCTGACTTTCGGGCATTTGTTATGCACCTCGCTGTAGCTATGGGATTTCTATGATTTGTACTTTGGTTCCCTACAACGATTGGATTTCTGCTCCCTGCAATGGGATTTTCCATCCCTACTCCAACCCCTAAAGTTCTCATATGCTTAAACAATTTTAATTCACTTTTTCAATACATGGGTCTCTCGAGTTCGAGATAAGATTGTTGTTGACCTCAAAAGCCTCCCAAAGTTGAAATGACTGGGATAATGTTTGGTTTGCCTCGGTTGTTGAATTAGAAGAGAGTCCAGGTTGATGTCCTTGTATATAATTGTAAAGGACGGCCCAGATATACATTACGAGTCATTTTTCTATAATCTACCACTCAAAGGCCAATCAACTCCATGTCTACCCAATCAAAACCAATCAACCAAAATGAATGATTGTCTAAATTAAAGATTTGATTAAGAAGTTTATGTGTTAGCATAATTTTATAAAGCTCATCTTAAATCTATAATAGAAAACCCGAAACCACAGAATGTCCTACACCAATCCTTTTTTAATTATGCCTTGGCCTCAAGAATGTAAAAAATTAGCATCAGTACTTATGTTAGAAGTGGCATGGCACATGCTTCCATGCTGATGCTATGACTTCTCTGTTACGACCCGGTCCGGCTAGCCCGAAATAACATGACGGTAACAGTCGGTCGTACGGAAAGCACATATAAAACATAAACAATTTCATTAAAGCTTTAATGATAAGACATAAACATCATCCAATTATATGAAAGAGCCACTAATAACATTAATACTAAAGTTGTCCAAAGTTGTTTGTTCTCACACAACTACTCAAAACTTAAATCATCAACAGTTACATAAACTCCCATAAACTGCACAGATACAGATCAAAGACTCCACAGAAAACATAAAACATAAAAACATTTCTTCTTCTCGAGGTCCTCTATGACAGTAGGTATGCTGTCGTCTTGTAGCCATCACTTCTTAATAATTTCTCCTAAAAAATATTTTCAAACATAGGATGAGCCAACGCTCAGCAAGTGAAAAACATTTATCTCAAATTTATGAAATATTTTTTTAATCTTTCTTAAACATGTCATTAAGCATGAAATAGTAAAAGATCAGAATAAGCATTTATGCATGAATTTATAAAACAATTTTAATAATCATTCTTAAGATATTTTCATTATTCAATATTATTCTTTTCTTTCATTTTCATATATTTTTCTTTTCCTTAAATCATTTCATTAAATGTATAACTTTCAAAATCATAATATGATAAACACCGGTCCAGGAAGTACCAGTGTTTGTATTGATCAGGTACACAGTCTTTTGGTCATTTCCTTTACCATTTGGCTCCGAAGAACTCCATTACCATTTGGCTTTTGCAAGCCCCTTTACCATTTGGCTCCGTAGAACCCCATGACTATTTTTGGCACTTCCGAATCAACATGCACATGTACTTTATAATACTTATTTTCATCAAAGGATTAGAGACTATTCAATGCTTGATATAATCTTCAATGTTTTAATGGGTAAATGAAAACCTTGCATTTCTTATGTCTTAAATTGTTTAATTAATTTGAACATTTTAAATAACAGGTTATACATATAAGCAAATATTGAAAAGCTAAAGCCATAATAAAAAATTCATGAACATTAACTTGTAACATTTTTAAAAGTGCATAAATATTTAATTAAAATTTCATAAACTCAATTTAAACGTAATTCACCTATCTTGTCAGTATCGAACCACCTCCACAACATTGCATTACATTGTCTAACCACTTGTCTCCACCTTAATCTACACCTAAAGATAGTTACAATTGAACTAAGCACACATCATAATTATTTTCAATAATTAACATAATTAATTTTCTATTTTCGGAATTATTTAAAATTCAAAATTTTGAAAATCATAAATCTTCAATTTCGCTCAAATCTTAATATCGAAATTATCCCTAAATATAATTTAATAAATATCTTATTAATTTTCGGATTAAATAATTTAAGAAATTATTAAAAATAAAATTTTCATTAAAAAATCCAAATTTATGTTTTAAAACATTCATAATGCCCTTAAAAATAACTTTTGTAAAAGCACTTTATAGAAATTTAATTTTTTTGTAAAAACTCTACAATTTCATCCTCCAAAAACTTCGTTTTCATCGCTAAATCATCTCTCTTAATCCTTACCTAATAATTTCATAAAGAAATTTGGGAGAAAATGCATTTTTCTAGAAAAACCCTAGAAACTTTGTTCTCGAATAACTTCAGATTTAGAAGAAGAAATGAAATTGTAAGACATACCTTCTTCTTCCCTCGATCTCCTCTTCGATTTCCCCTAAATTTTTCGCCGGAAAATCGCCTCCGGAGAGCCCATCGTCGAGCCCTAGCTGTAATTCCCGTCCGTCCTTTGTCCGCTCAGTTATGCACTTATGCGTGAATAGAGAGGAGAGGGGTTTGATTTTGCCTATTAGGAGAAATTGAGTTTTGCAAATGACCTTCTTGTCCTTACTTAAGTGAATTTGACTTAAGAAACAATTAGGAGTAATATGGGTATTTTTAATCTCCCGAATTTTATAATTCTCAAAATACACATAATTAATTATAAGTCCTATATATCAAAACGATCAGAATTTTGCGTAGGATTTTATAAAATTATTTTCGTCGAATTTTGTTAACTTCAAAATTTTCACTTAAGATTCGTTGCGACGCATCGAAATGCGTGCGATGACCTATGATCGTCACTTTCGGATTTTACAATTCTCCCTTCCTAATAAAAATTTCGTCCTCGAAATTTAAAAGAAAAATTCTATATAGTAAAATCATATCTTAACCAAAAAAAATGAGGGTGATTCTCCCTCATTTTTGACTCCTCCCAGGTGACATCCTTTTCTGAATTATTCTTCCAAAACACCTTAACATAAGGGATTGCTCTTTTCTTCAATTGCTTAACACCATAATCAAGGATTTTCTCTGGTTCTTTCACAAAGGTCAAATCTGACTTAATATCAACTGATTCAGTACTGATCTTCTGAGTTTCATCTGAAATGTATTTTTCTCAAATAAGAGATGTGGAATACATTATGTACTCCACTCATATGAGTTAGCAAAATCAATCTATACGCCACATTTCCAATCCTTTCTGAAATCTCAAATAAACCTATATATCTTGGCCTCAGCTTTTCCATTTTGTCAAATCTCTTCACACCTTTCATAGGACTATAACTTTGAGGAATACAAAATCTCCAACATCAAATAGTTTATATGTTTGGCATCATAGTATTTCTTCTTGAGTTTGATGTCGGAAATTTTGTATTCCTCAAAGTTAGTCCTATGAAAGGTGTGAAGAGATTTGGCAAATTGGAAAAGCTGAGTCCAAGATATGTAGGTCCATTTGAGATTTCAGAAAGGATTAGAAAGGTGGCCTATAAGTTGACTTTGCCAACTCATATGAGTGAAGTACATAATGTTTTCCACATCTCTTCTTTGAGGAAATACATTTCAGATGAAACTCAGAAGATCAGTACTAAATCAGTTGATATTCAACCAGATTTGACCTTTGTGGAGGAACCTAATAGAATTATTGATTATGATGTTAAGCAGTTGAGGAGCAGAGTAATTCCTTATGTTAAAGTGCTTTGGAAGCACAGTTCAGAAAAGGATGCCACTTGGAGAAAGAGTCAGAAATGAGGGAGAACCACCCTCATTTATTTGGCTAAGGCATGGCTTTGCGTTATAGAATTGCTTTTAAATTTCAAGGACGAAATTTTTATTAGGCTGGGAGAATTTTAAAATCCGAAAACGACGATCATAGGTCGTCGTACGCTTTTTGATGCGTCGCTACGAGACTTAAGTAAAAATTTCGAAGTTAACAGAATTTGACGGAAATAATTTTATAAAATCCTACGCAAAATACTGATCATTTTGATATATAAAACTTATAATTAATTATTTGTATTTTGGAACTTATAAAATTCGAAAGATTAGAAATACTCATCCCTAATTGTTTCTTAAGTCAAATTCACTTAAGGGCAAGAGGGTCATTTGCAAAACTCAATTTCTCTTAATAGGCAAAACCGAACCCCTCTCCTCTCTATTCACGCATAACCGAGCGAACAAATGGCGGACGGGACGAACGGCGAGGTCTCGGCGACGGGCTCTCCGGAGGCGATTTTCCGGCGAAAATTTTAGGGGAAATCGAAGAGGAGGTCAAGGGAAGAAGAAGGTATATCTTAGAATTTTATTTCCTCTTCTAAATCTCAAGATATTTGGTAATGAAAAATCAAGGGTTTTCTAAAATTTGTTTTTCATTCAGAATTTCTTTGCGAAACCTTTATGGAATTATTAGGAGAATGTTTTAATATAAAAAAAGATGAAGTTTTAGGAGGAATTTTGGAAATCGGAAAGTAGGGTTTTTACAAAAAAAAATTAGTTTCTATAAAGTGTTTTTACCAATGCTTTTAAAACCGGACCGGACCGGCCGGTTCAACCGGTTGAACCGCGAACCGGTCGGCCGGCCGGTTACGGTTCAAATGAAAACCTGTTTTGCAAAAAACCGGGATAAACCCGCTCGAACCAGCGGTTCAACCGCCGAACCGGTTCCGATTTTTTATAACCGGCCGGAAAGCTTAAACGCGGAGAGAAAAAAAACCCTCATTTGCGTCGTCTGCTCGATTCTTCGGCTTCGAGCTTCAATAGAGGAAAAAAAATCGCAATCGAAGCCTTCGACCTCTTCTTCCCCCTCGGCGTGCAAAGCTAACAACGTCTCCGTTGAAACCCCTAAATACCAACTCGTCCATAAAGCCGCCGATTACGAGATCCGCACCTACGCTTCCTCAGTACTCGTCGAGGCCACCTACAACCTCGCCGTTCTCGACGGCCGCGACGCCGGCTTCATGATCCTAGCCAACTATATTGGCGTCGTCGGCGAGCCTCAAAACTCCCACCCCGAGAAAATCTTGACGGCTCCCGTCATCACCCACCCGGCGCATTTTTAAAACATAAATTTGAATTTTTAATGAAAATCTTATTTTTAATAATTTCTTAAAATATTTAATCCTAAAAATTAATAAGATATTTATTAAATTATATTTAGAGATAATTTCGATATTAAAACTTGAGCGAAATTGAAGATTTAGGATTTCCAAAATTTTGGATTTTAAATAATTCCGAAAATAAAAAATTATTATGTTAATTATTAAAAATAATTATGATTGATGCTTAGCTCAATTGTAACTATCTTTAGGTGTGGATTAAGATGAAGACAAGTGGCTAGACAACGTCGTGCAACGTTGTGGAGGTGGTTCGATACTTGCAAGGTAGATGAATTACATTTAAATTGAGTTTATAAAATTTAATTAAATATTTCTGCACTTTTAAAATGTTATAAATTAATGTTCATTAATTTTCTATTATTGCTTTAGTTTTACAATTATTGTTTATACATATGGCACATTACTTAGAATGTTAAAGTAAACTTAAGAGATACAAAGTTTCTTTAATCAAAAAACATTAAAAATCATTTGATGCAGTGAATAGTTTTAATTATTTGATGAATATAAATATTATAAAATATATGTGCATATTGATCCGGAAGTGCCAAACAAATGGTAATGGAGTTCTACGAAGCCGAATGATAAAAGGGCTTGCAAAAGCCAAATGGAAATGGGATTCTTCGGAACCAAATGGCAAAGGAAATGGCCAAAAGATTGTGTACCTGATCAGTACAAATACTGGTACTTCCAGGACATGTGTTTATCATATTATGATTTTGAAAATTATGCATTTAATAAAATGATTTAAGGAAAAGAAAAATGTATGGAAATGAAAGAAAAGAAGGATATGGAAAAAGGAAAATGTCTTAAGAATGATTATTGAAATTGTTTTATAAATTCATGCATAAATGCTTATTCTGCTCTTTTATTATTTCATGCTTAATGACCTGTTTAAGAAATAAAAGAAAAATATTTCATGAATTTAAGATAAATGTTTTTCACCTGTTGAGCATTGACTCATCCTACGTTTGAAAATATTTTTAGGAGAAATTATTAAGAAGTGATGGCTACAAGACGACAGTATATCTATTGTTGTAGAGGACCTCGAGAAGAAGAAAGGTTTTTATGTTTTATGTTTTATGTGGAGTCTTTGATCTGTATCTGTGTAGTTTGTGGAAGTTTATGTAATTGTTGATAATTTAAATTTTTAGTTGTGTGAGAAAAAACAACTTTGATATTAATTTTATTAGTGGCTCTTTCATATAATTGGATGATGTTTATGTCTTATCATTAAAGCTTTAATGAAATTGTTTATGTTTTATATGTGATTTCCGTACGACACTACGACCGACTGTTCCCTCCCCATTATTTCGAGCTAGTCGGGCCGAGTCGTGACAAGAGCTTTAATAAAATTGTTTATGTTTTATATGTGCTTTCCGTATGACCGACTGTTCCCGCCCCGTTATTTCGGGCTAGCCGGGCCGGATCGTGACATTCTCAACCTTGCTGCAGATCTATAAAAGAAACTAGTTAATCACAAATACTAAATCTGTTTTACACCAACATTTCCCAGTAGTTTGCAGCCAAGCTAGTAAGTTTATCTCTCTATATTCTCTAGATTCTCATGGATGGTGAACATATGGCAAAAAAGGATAGATCACTAAGTTTTATAGGCTGCAAAAACTGTTTCAATTATCATGTAAATCATTCACCTTAAAATAGAGACTAAATGCAACTAATAGGGCATTCTCTTCATTTAGTTGAAAGTCAAATAAATTAAGTTGCTCATTCCTTAGTGAAACATTAATTCTTTGCAGATGTGCTGCAGGAGAAACCTTAGCGACATGTTAGAAGGCAAAGAAAATGGAAGATTATCACAGATTTTATTAAGTTCAGAAAATTTTTCAAGAAAAAAACTCAGAATTGATGTGAAAAGTTATGTTTCACGGCCTAGTTCTGGATTGCTAAACTCTTCAAACATAAGTTTATTGGAAACAAGGTATGCAACCTTAGCATTAATTGTACCAAGTAAATTAGCAACTAAGAAAGACAAAATAAGATATAAGTACATTAGAGGAACATATCTATTGAGATTAAGGTAGATTAAAATAGAAAAAGGTGGTTCGAACTTAACTAAGGAAAAAAAAAATGCACTCATTGGATGGGTGGATAAATTAAGAGTTAGAACATTATGAAAGAAAAGGAGAAAACCATTGATAATCAATTGGATAAAAGTTATCTAAAATCAATTACAACAGTTTTTAAGCAGAATAACTGCAAACCTATCATAATCCTGATCAAGCACTTAATAGAAAAAGAATTCAAAATCATTATTCAGTGACGTTTACTAAAGTAAAAACAACATAAATCACAACTGATTGGTGACGTTTACTAAAGTAAAAACAACATAAATCACAACTGACTGGCAGGCCTAAAGGCTGATCAAGCACTTAATTGAAGTAATTATCTGCTCACCTGTGAGCTTGGATTATGCCGTTCTGAGGCACAATTAGACACCTTATATTTGTCCTCTTCAGGAGTTTTATGCATCTTGTGTTTAGCATTGTACTCTTCCTCATTATGAAATTGCCTGCGAAGCGAAATAGTGCCAGAACTAGCATTTGGATCAATAGATGAATCAGACAGCGATTTCCTACCAGAAGCATGATGCTCCACCGCAGAAGCAACACCAAATCTCCCAAGCGAACGCGGTTGAGGATTGCTGCTGACATGAGCAGCAAGATCTTTGGGGTTTCCTAAGCTATCCTCATAGGGTAAAACATCAGCACCTGGTACACATCTCCAGCTCATTGAATGCTCATTTTTTACCATTACCAATATTTCAGTCTGCAGAAAAATTACATAGTAAAAAACCATTTGAAATTATGCGGGCTATAGTTGATGCATTTCCTTCTCTAACCTGATTTGATAGCTCTTTTCTGTTTCCTCCAAAAGCAACTAGAAATAGCTTGTCATTGTGATGCACAGAGACCAAACTAAATCCCTGGAAAGAAGATAAATTGTCATTATCTTTCTTGCAAGTAGAAAGAAGTCGTAAAGTGATTGTCTAGTTCTTCCAAATGTAATTGCTTGGCATGCAGTGCCGCATTGATAGTCAAGAAAAGCATAAAATATTGACAATTAAAAATGAATTAGAGCTCCGACCACCATAACTCGTTTAAACAATTAGAAATAGTTCTTAAACTCATAATACCACCATTAAAGTTCTATTTGGGAAGGCCGTAAGACGCAGCTCTGCACATACCCCACCCTCCCATCCAAAACACTAATAGTGGCATAACAAGTTTTAGGGAGATGCAGAAATTAGTTGAATCCAAATAAATATATATCAAGTAGATTAGCCCTTACCAGAATTTCCAAAAGCATCAAGTGCTTTCAATACTCTATGATTGCCTAATGCTCAAGACTCTAGGCGCCAACTTAGGTGCTTGTCTGAGCAAAGTGGGTGCTAAAAAAGTAAAATTAAATTGCTTATAACTATATCTTAGTAATGAGAGTTACTTCTGAATAGTATAGATGATGATCACCCCATTAAATTAGTAAGGAAAATAAAGAATTTTCAAATTCCATTACATCTAAAGTTTACAATTCTTAAAGCTCCAGCGGATTGACAAACATTCATAGTGAACCTAATTATTTCCCTCAACTCAACTTCTACAAATACCAGAAAAAAAAGGATTGGATGGATTTCAGTGCAGCAAACAAAGATGTTACCTATGGCAAATGGAAGAACAAAAAGAAAATTGACACCAATGTCATTTATAGCACTGACAGCTAGGGCCAATGGTTTGAACCACAAGTTGTATAACAAATCATGCCCAAAACCACAACATTAGTCAGGGATGTGAGTTGTACTCGCAATCAAACATTGGGGTCAGGTCTCTTGAGGGCATCAACCAAAAATAAGAGGATTGATTCAACTGTCTCAAATCATTGATGGATATGCAAATAACCAGCGACCAACATTATGGCTATGAAATGTTACCCCATCAAGCCTTCCCTTTGTGTCACCGACAACCAGGGAAGTGGAGAAAACCCTAAGCCAATCAGACGAATGGAGGATCAGGAGATGGAGATTTCAGAAGAAATGGAGAAAACCCTAGTTTTGTGTGGACTTTTATGGAGAATTTTCGTTGTTTTTCAAAGATTGATAGAAATTACTTTAGATCTAAAAGTGTTTCCTATCAAATTGGTATCAAGCAGTTTCCGGGCTATTTTTGGGCTGTTTTTGGAGAATTCCTGTAGTAGATTTTTCTACTTTGAACCAAGGCTTTTGCTGTTTTTAGGGGGGAAATCCGGATTTTTTAGCCTAACAATGAGCCAGAGATATATGGAGGGAAGAAATGTATAAGTATTGGAAGGGGATCGAACAAATGAAATATTAAATTTCATATCTACAAATTCAAATTTCATATTTAAATAAAGATATTTCAGTCATCCATGATAAGATCGATTCAAATTTTCCATCCTGGGGTAGATGTTGCAGAAAGTTCTCGAGGGCCAAACCAAAAAAATGTCGTCGGATGAGAGGGAAGTCACCGACAACCAGGGAAGTGGAGAAAACCCTAAGCCAATCAGACGAATGGAGGATCAAGAGATGGAGATTTCAGAAGGAATGGAGAAAACCCTAGTTTTGTGTGGACTTTTATGGAGAATTTTCGTTGTTTTCCAAAGATTGATAGAAATTACTTTAGATCTAAAAGTGTTTCCTATCAAATTGGTATCAAGCAGTTTTCGGACTATTTTTGGGCTATTTTTGGAGAATTCCTGTAGTAAATTTTTCTACTTTGAACCAAGGCTTTTGCTGTTTTTAGGGGGGGAATCCGGATTTTTTAGCCTAACAATGAGCCAGGGATATATGGAGGGAAGAAATGTAGAAGTATTGGAAGGTGAGATCGAACAAATGAAATATTAAATTTCATATCTACAAATTCAAATTTCATATTTAAAGAAAGATATTTCGGTCATCCATGATAAGATCGATTCGAATTTTCCATCCTAGGGTAGATGCTGGAGAAAGTTCTCGAGGGCCAAACCAAAAAAATGTCCTCGGAGGTGAGGGAAGTCACCGACAACCAAGGAAGTGGAGAAAACCCTAAGCCAATCAGACGAATGGAGGATCAGGAGATGGAGATTTCAGAAGGAATGGACAAAAGCCCCCCCCGGTACTATTCCCAGGGAAGAGCCTAGTAGAGAGTATGTTGAGAGGCGTGAATGGGTTAGACATGAGTGGAGGGATGCTGAATTTGAAAGAAGAGAGGCCGAATTTGGAAGGCGATGACTTAATTATGATCAAAGAGGTGTCGAATTTGAAAGGAGAGGGGTTGAATATGATCGAAGGGGTGCTGAATTTAAAGGGAGAAGATGGGCTTGTGATAAAAAGTTTTGTGCGAGCAAAGGAGGGATGATTGGCACAATTGGGGGGAACCACCCCCTTGGGGAATGAGAAATTTTGGAGGAAGCAAGGTTGACGGAGAATATCTGAGAGTGAGGAAACTGAGGATGTCTATTTTTTTAGGGAGAGAATGCACATGGGTAGATCCAAAGTGTGGAAAGGTATTTTACTATCAATATGTTGACGGAGGAGAGACAGACGGCAGTTGGCCTATGTTTAGAAGGGAATGCTTTGGCTTAGTACCATTGAAGGGACATGCAACGACCCATACGTAATTGGACGAAATTCAAGGATTATCTGTTAGAACGATTCCGAACCAGCAGGGGAGGAGATTTCTACTAGCAGTTCTTCGCCTTGACATAAGATGATTCAATGATAGAGTACCGAGAGAGGTTTGAGTACCTCGCTAGCCGAGTGGACCATCTTTCTAAGGCCGTGCTAGAGGAAAACTTCATGAAGGGATTGAAACTAGAGATATGGATGGCAGTTAGAGTGATGAGGCCTCATAACCAAGAAGAGGCTATGGAGCTAGCTCAATTGGTGGAGGATCATAGGCACCTGGAGAGAGGGACATAACGCAGCAACTCAGGAGGCGTGTACAAGATGACCACCACCTTTTTGGCATCCATAAAGCCAACACCGGGTACCCTTAGGGTAACTCTGAAGGAGAAGGCTGTCGATGGAAAACTTGGGGACAACTTCAAGAAGCTCACAAAGAAGGAATTACAGGAGAGAAGGGCGAAGGGACTTTGTTTCAGATGTGACGAGAGGCATACACCGGAGCATAGGTGTAAGGACCAAACTCTTTAGGTTCTTATTGTTTATGATGAAGAGGGAATGGAGGGGGGAATCATCTTTCCACCTTGCGAAAAAAGTTGGCTTTTGGGAGAGGGGTATTATTAGACCGGTCCCCAGTCCAGTCGATCCTGTAAGGAGACAAAGGAGGAAGAGTTCCGCCTCTCCTGTACTGTCGCTCAAACCACAAGAGCCAATATGACTATTTAGGAAGGATTTCATTTTGAATTTTATGTATTAAGTAGTATATTTTCCTATGGTTGAAACATAAGCCAATAGGAGGAGGGAGTGGGGATAACTTCAAGAAGCTCACTGAGACAGAATTATATGAGAAGAGGGCAAAAGGACTTTGTTTCAGATGTGACGAGAGGCATACACCGGGGCACAGGTGTAAGGATCAAACTCTTTAGGTTCTTATTGTTTATGACGAAGAGGGAATGGAGGGGGGAATCATCTTTCCACCTTGCGAACAAAGTTGGCGTTTGGGAGAGGGGTATTATTAGACCGGTCCCCAGTCCAGTCGGTCCTGTAAGGAGACAAAGGAGGAAGAGTTCCACCTCTCCTGTACTGTCGCTCAAACCACAAGAGCCAATATAACTATTTAGGAAGGATTTCATTTTGAATTTTATGTATTAAGTAGTATATTTTCCTATGGTTGAAACATATTGAAATTGGATGAAATTTGAGATCTCTCTTAGGTTTTGGGCTCTAGCGGCATCTAGAAATTGGGAGAAATAGATCCTAATTTTGTGTATTTTTATGGAGAATTCTCACTGTTTTCCAAAGATTGATAGGAACTACTTGAGATCTACAAGTGTTTCCTATCAGAAACATGATCATAGATTGGTTAATTTGATTTTTGTTCCTTTTCCATTGAACATTGAACCTCGGTACATCTGCACTTCTCAAAAACTCCCTAACTTTCACCAAATAGGAATTTTGTCTCCCGTATCTTCAAATTTATAGAAAAAATTTGCAAGATTTGATTTTTGGGAATCATGCATACATGAGTTTAAACTGAAGCCACTATCCTTGACAAATATCATAAAAACTGAATAAATCACTTATAATTGCAATGACGGCATCAAATGACTTGAAGCGAAAGTACCCACTAAATTTGAAAATGAAATGCAACAAAATAAATTAAAAAAAAAAACACAAAAGCGAAAGAGAACACGCAACTAGAAAGACACAAGGTTTTTGCAATTGACTTCAATCAAGCCTTCCTTCGTCCACAATATAAAAGAGATTATTTGATCCACTAAAACCAAAATCCACAAGAGGTATGCACAACAAAGGAACACTCACCACCTATTCCTAGACTCGAGTAGAGGCCCCAAACCTAATCAAGATTACCTCATATGAAGCCTTCTTCTCAAATAGAACCATGGAGTCTCCAATCTTGCTATTAAATCTTAGCCATCACAATATTGCATAACAATTGCACTCCTAGAGCAGTGATTTTTTCTTTTTGTTATTATTATGAGGATGAGAAAATCATCCCCTTTCACGGGCCCAAACACCATATCTATTGATTAGAACAAGAAAGGAAAAAAGGGGGCATTTGAGATTTGAATTTCTTGCTCTAATTGAGATCAAAATATTATGAATAATTAAATCAAATCAAATCCAATTAGACACCTAATTAGATTTAATTTAAGTAACTTTCCTAAAATAGGCTATCTTAAATTAGGAAAGCATTTCAAATTCAAAATTACTTAGAATTTGAAATCAAATATTTTCCTAACTTAGATTGTTTGATAAAAGGAAAGTAATCAAAGAGGAATTCAAATTTTGGAGGCAAAGAGGAAGAAGGGGAGAAGGGGCCGGCGACATTAAAAGGGGGAGGAGGAGAGGTTATGGAAAGGAGATTAAAAATAACTTTGATTGGAACCTTAAATTAGGGAATAATATTTAAATCACATCCAATTAAATAATTAACTAGACCTGATTCAAATATTTTCCTAAAATAAAAATCCTAACTTTAGAAACAAAATTCAAATTCAAATTAATTTGAATTTGAAATTTCAATTTGTTACTAAGTTAGAAGGGCTAAAACAGGAAAGGGCTTTGAATGTGAAGGGGGATTTGTGGAGCCAAGGGGAAAGAAGGTAGCCAGCAATTTGGTGAGACCAGCGGCTAGGGAGGTTGGCAGGGGGTGTTGGAGGTGGAGCTAAGGCCGTGGGGAGGGAGAAGGGGAGGCTGGTTTTGTGAAAGTGGACGGGTTTATGGGAGAATTGGCCGGTGGAAAGTAGGGGATTTTGGCCAGGAGTCAAGGGAGGAGGAGAAAAGGATTTAGGGAAAGAAAGATACAACCGCGAGCCCGGACACATCTTGCAGCTGACAGGTACTACGTTGCCCTTCACCAAGAGACTTTAGGCCACGAGCCCGAACACATCTTGTGGCTGGTGAAAGCTATGAATTCCTCCCATAGGAATCTCACCCAATGTTCTTCCCAAATAACACGAGTGCAAACACAAAATTTTATTAATCATCTAACATTACATTACACAAGCAAGGGTCTCTATATATAGGCCTAAGAAATTAAAACAAGACATATGCCCCTAGGGCTTACATAGGACAACCCTCTTAAGGGTAAAAACAAAAAATTCATAATAAAAATAAAAATTACAAATAACAAATTAAGATAAAGTGGAATGATCTCGGCCGTCGATCGTCGTCTCCTCCTTTGAAAATCTTCATGATCGGATGTCCGCATCATCTATGTCATGTGGCAACAAGAGGAGGAGGAGTGCATGTGTACGCTCAAACAGGCAATCTTGTAGTATCACCATTGACCAAAATAATAGTAAACTTTTTTTTCTGCTTTTATCTTCCGAAATGAAATTCTACTCTATCAATTTCCATCAAACCTCTAAAGAGTTCTAAAGAATGGACATGCAGTATATTAGCTGTAGCAGTAGCAGCTTAAATTATAGGCTATGAAAAGATTGCAGTAAGCATTTCCATGTAATGGACATTAAAATCAAGCGTAAAATGATACTAATGAAAACAATCCTTGATGCTATGACGTACTGGCATCCTTCCAAAATTGTTTTAAGACATGAAATATAGCACCCAAAGAGGCCAGGTTATACAACAACCATGCATAATGTAAACTTAAACAGATTTGATCTACTTAATAATCATGGTTAACTTTTACTTGAAATTAAAAGAAAACAACATGACAAAAAACATAACATCGTAACTAAATATATTAAGACCAAAATATGTTCAAGTTAATAATCACTAAAAATCAACAAAGTAACAAATAAACAAGTTTTATCACATTAGAGTTCTTAAAGGGATATTTTGGAAGGACTTACTTTACTAGTAGCTATAGAGTCATTAGATGATGTAACAGAAACAGACCACTCAACTTTTGAAACATCAAAGACCAAGGTTTCGGCATATCCTGAAGAACAAATCAACATCAGACATACAAATTCAAATTTAATCAAGTCATGTAATCATCGCTATCAAATTTAAGAGTTAAACAAAAATTATCACTTCTAAATGCCCAGCACGCCATCCTCGTTTTCTCATTTCCCATCAAATAAACATAAATCACATTCAAAGGCCCAGCAATAAAGTAAATCTAATTTTTCATTTGTCAAATAGAAACACTCAATTATCACTATGAAAACATCAAAAGGGAACAAAATAAAGCCTCCAACAACATTCAGAGTGAACAAAGAAAATAAATCAATCTACAGAGCAACTCAATACATACGTTTTTTCTTGCTTCCGCCACCAACAATATACCATCTATTTCCACAAAGGATGCCACTGCAGCCAGCCCTAGGTGATGGATGATGACCTTTGATCTTTATTTTTGACCATACCATCTAAGAAGTAAAATAGATTTTAATAATTGGATCTACCAAAAACAAAATTATTAACAAGAAAAAAAAAAAGTTTTCTTTAAGCCGGACGGTCCCAGTGCCACATACTGTTTCAAAGTCAAGAGAGTAGAGATCATTCAGAATCCTGGACTTTGATTGCCCTCCAAACACAAAAAGAAATCTATCATCATAAAGAGCAGCTACATGGTTTGATCTTGGAGATGGCCCAGCTCCTCTGGAAAGGTATTTAGTACAAGATCAAAACGTATATAATTTGCATAAAAAAGACTTCCAATTGTACTAAAATTCATATAAACTATAGCAAATACAATTATAGACGAGTTTGACTTTAATCATATGGTGTATTGCAGACTGTAATAGGCAAAAAATCTGCAATAATTGCGATTTCAATTTTCTGCCAAATACAATATGCTCCAGTAGGCAATTTTCAGTTCATTTAATAGATGTTGCTGACATATAGCACAGAAAGATGTCTCACGTGTAATGCAATGGAAGCCATGTTGAAGATTTCAGATCAAACATGTGGAGGTCGTTAAGTTTTCTCCCTTTAGTATCTTGGCCCCCAAAAAGAATCAGGATTGAACCTGCTCTGATGACAGTATGACCACTACGAGCAGCCTGAATTCCATCAGAAATTTACATCAAATGTATATAACGACTGTGGATCCAATGAAGTACTTTACTGCTTCTGTATACGTTAAAAGAAGAAAATAGATGCTGAGTTAAAATATCAACACTAGTTTCCAGTTTCTAGATAACCAAGAAAAAAAAAGCAATTACAAGGAAACTGAGGGGTGAAAGAAGAAATAAACCAAACAAGCAAATAAGGATTCAATTCACATATAATAGAACATACAAAAGCCTCATGGTTTTACAAAAATTCATTAGATTTTTCTTCCATCCAAACCATAAAACAGGTATTTTAAAATGGAGAAAAATGAACATAAATTAAAATCCAAATTGCAAAGTGCTTACCGGAACATCACCCTTCACTTCCACATGAGACCAGCATTCAGCATCTACATCGAAGGACCAGACTGAAGCAGAGCAAAATGTTACACAACCTTTTTTATTCACAATCCAATAAATAACTATTTTAAGAACAGTTATTTTATAGCAGCGTCTTAAATTAACTGACCTACTACTCCATCACTGTGAGGGTCAGTTGTGCCTCCAACCAGAAGTACCAACTTTCCCCAAGAGACCTACATTGCATGTGTGCAGAGTATTTTTTATTTTTAGTGTTATTTAGTAGCAATAACATAAAATGTTTCAACTGAAAATTTGCCATGTCCGATATACTAATCAGATACTCAGCAATTTAAAAAAAAAAATCAATGCATAATATGTGCTTGATATGAAAGCAAAATTATCAATATAAGGAATAAAACCATATAAAGTCGTCAAAAATCATCCATTGGCCACCAGAAATCCTTTGCGAGCATCCATAGGTCAGAATTTTAATGCTTTTCTTTTCCTACTCTTAATGCAAACTTTTAGTTTAATAAGGTTTATGCAATCAACAACCAAAACAGTTCTGTTCCCAGGTAAAAAGCAAGACAATGAGGCATACTAACCATCTTTTACAGAATTAATAGCTCAATATGTAAAGTAAAAAATTATGAAGGAAAACAAAAGTCACCCAGATCATGATACTCCTTAAAGGGACAGGTAACATGAATAACCTCTTACAAGTAAAATTTGTATTTACTGAATGTTTCTTCATGTTCAGCAAAGTTGGTGACATATTATTTCGAAATTTTCCAATTAAATGAAAAGTTAGTTATCAGTGTAGAGCTCGGCTTATTATCATAAAAAGAAATATAAAGAAATTGCATAGAAACCTTATTTTATGAAATACATTTTAATAAACATTTTGGATATTTCACTAGTGCACTGTATGGTTCAAGGAAAATGTGCTCAGTATTGCAGGTTAAGACACACTGTACATTCTCTTAAACGTAACTTATATTACAATGTCTGGTATGTTAACTATCATATCATTTTGTTTACTAGAAAACCCATTTCTCTTTCAGTTCAACCTGAATCTAATTTATATGTTAAGATCTAAACATGTTGTATAGTAAATCAACAAAAAACAGTAAAATCAGAAGAGAATCAGGAACATTTTGGGCGCTATGAAACAAATAAAATCTTACAAAGGACAATGAACCACATAGAAAGTATCAGCATGCCCCCATGTCTCTCAGATTAATATGCAATAGACGATTCATTAAGAGCCATACTGAACCTTATAAAACAACCACATCTCTACCAAAAGAGGAAATAACTTTAAAATTGGAAGATATTGGGATATTATAAAGTGGTCACAAGTAACTGAACATATACCAAACAATGATTTTTACATGCAGGGATTTTCAACCCAGCTGGCGAACGGTAGATCTTGGAAGCAGGAGCCCAACAAAGTTTGTCCAGACTAAGTATCTGAAATGCATTAACAGAGTCATTACAAATTTTAAAAACTACTCATAAAAAATATGATATCTAAGTATGTGATTAGCTAACATGCATATAACTGTGAAGCAAAATCATTATTCTAACACTCGCGACAGAAGTAGGCAAGTCCCAAAGTCACAATTATTAAGCAAAACCAAGAACTCATGGATTCAGAACAAGGAAAAAAACATCTGTTTCTTGCTTGGAAAAAAAAGAAGACTTAAGTTAGATCATGGAATCTTGATTCGAAATCATGCTTAATAAAAATTAGAAGCATAACCAAACAGCACCATCAGCACAAGTAAGCAATTCAAGAGACAATAGTATCAAGCAAATGCCATCCTTATAGTAAATGCTCCTGAACCTAATAAAAAACTTTAAAAATTCAAAAATTGCTTGGAAGATTCAAAAGAGCAACAAAAAATCATGCCAATCACAATATGCAATTAATCTTGATGTAAATGAGATCTGTGACTATAGCAGCCTCAACTTGAATAGGTAAATTCCTCAAACAACCAATTAGTAAATATTTAGAATTCAGTGGGAAAGTCAGAACTGTTAAAAAGTAAAATTAAATTCACATAAATGCCAAAAAATTAGACAAGCTACAGGATTTCATACCATTGTATCATCCAGCATCCCATTGCCAGAATCCCCACCAACCACCACCATTTTACTCCCAACAACAGCCGCTGCATGCTACATTGAAAACCCAAGTCAAGCTCAAGTCAACAAAATTGAAAATAACATTTAGGATAACATTACCGCATTCCGATAAGATGAAACAGATAAATAAATAGAAAGGAACGTGTACTAAAGCTTCCATAGTTTTCCCTCTTCATGAAATGGTAATATTTTGGCAGGCTTGCATTCAAAACCAGCAAATTGCCTTCTTATTGTAAAGAACAGTTATGGTCCAGAAAGGATAAGCAACAATCTAATACTTGTCTCAGCATATACTTTATTTCTAATCTAACTTATCCTTCTTCTTCATTGCCCTGCCACCGAAGGATCTCTCTCCTTTGGCACCAACTTTGCCTGCAGGCTTGCCAGCTATTCGCTAATGAGGTTTCAAACTGGTCTACGTGGTCTACTAAGCAAGCCATTTGTCCTTGTTAGGGAAAGCAATCACCTGAGCCGCTCATCTCATGCAAGGTATTGTCCCCTAACCCTACAGATTTTATTTTTTTATTTCTTTTCTCACATGCAAGAACTAAATGCTACATAAAGCAAAACCCTATTTGGCTAGCCCACGGTGACCTTTAATGCGACGACGTCTCCAACAACAGCTCTAGGCTCTAGAAACAATAGAGGCCCTTCAATAAGTCCCATTTGCGAAAAACACTGCTAAAACCTAATAGAAACACGAGTTATGTAAAACTTTTAGTGGTGTCAAAACTTGACCCGACCCAAAACCCAACACGGACCCAACCCGGAAAAGTCCGGGTTCGGGTCAACCCGTTTATCCAACAAGTCGGGCTCGGATTTAGAAACTTGACCCGTTTTAAAAATCGGGTCAGATTCGGGTTGACCCGAGAACCCGACCACAACACAACTATGACCTGAATTTAATTAAACCCTTTGTGTTTAAGTGTTTCAATATTTCAACAATGTAAATGTAATATTGTAATGTATATTAGTATTTAGCAAATTTAATTTTTGTTTTGCATTATCTTTTATAAATGTAAATATGTAATTTGTAATTTAATCATTAGTGTTAGTATTTTGTTAATGTAATTTGTGTTCATTTATACTTTCTCGAATAATCAAATAATTCTATGTACTTCAGTATTTTGCATTTTAATAGAATTACTTAAATAAATTTGAAATAACAAAAATGCCAAAAATTGATGGGAAAAAAGGGCTGGCGAATCATTTCGGGTTGACCCGAACCCAAACCAGGTCGGGCTCAGATTTCCGACCCATTTGCATAACCGGGTCGGGTTGGCTGGCAATGGGTCAAGTTCGGATTGGACTAGAACCCGCCCCGAAGACTTGTTTTGACACCCCTAAACCTTGGCATGAAAATCTAAGTTGGTTGAACCTAAGCAAAACATGTGAACTTCAGCAAATCTATATCCAAGCATTTGTTGCAACCAAAGCACATTTGACTGGGCTATAATCAAGTTGGACAGTTATGAGACTTGTAAAAATAAGGATTTGAACATAACCTACTACCAATCCCACAGTTAATCCCACAGTTCTATAAATCACGGCAGAAATATTTGGGTTGAAGGAACCAAGCACAAAGAGTTAAGTCTGTCATTTCTTCCCGAGTTTGTTGACTCTGCAGAGGATCTGAAACTTAAGTTGTTCATAGAAAGTCAAATGGATCCACCCCAATGATTTGCCACCAAAATATACTAATTTACTAAGAACAATTGTCAACTACAGTCACTGTTTAGAAGAGGTAACAACTACAGATAACCAAATATAAAAATTCAAAAATGCTGCCAATGATTAATCTGGAGGACCAATTTCAGGCAGTTTTGCAGATAATCCTTACAACTAAATGAATGCGTAAATAAAACAAGAACAATAAGATCACACATTACTTGAAATCGAGGAGCTGGTTTGTCCCCTGTTGTCGGCAACACCATCCAGTTCTCAGAACATCCAACGCCACACTTACTGATGCCCAATCCAGCCATAGAGCAATCGCAGTAATGATCCTCCGACCGGCCACTAGCCGACGCCCCAACCAAAGAGTCTTCCTATCCATCACCCACCAAAAAAAAAATTTGGACTAAGAAAGCCTTTAAAAAATCCACAGTTACAAAGTTGGAACTTTAAGAAAGTAACCAAAAAAAAAAAAAGAATTTTTCTGCTCACATTGATCTGCGATGAGCTTTTGGTGGGGCGGACAGGGCTCTGGGGCCCCTGGGAAGGATCGCCCACTTTTGGCCTGCACGATGCATTTTAAAGTTGAAAAGAAGGCATCATTTCGGAATAGTCTGTAGAGAGAAAGAAACCCTAAAAGGATACATCTTTTTACTGCTGCAAAAAGCTAAAGAGCACACGGTCCGCCTCAAGTGGCGACAACAAAGAAAGTGGTAAAACAAAAATAAAAAGCGGGTTCAATGGGGGTCGGGGAGGGTAAGAGCTGACCTCCCAAGCTTCGTTCGACGGCGAGAGAAGCCGAACATCTTCGGCATTGTGACTCGAGAAGTCTCGACGCCGTGAAGTGAGAGGCCGCCGGTGCTAGCCGTCACCCAGCGACGAAATGTGACGCCGCTAAAACCCTAAGAAGAAGAGAGGAGAGTTGCGGGTTAACGCACAGAAAGTTAGTGCTTTTTTGGAGGGTAGAAGTGAGAGATTTCTGAAGCTAATCATTAACTCGCGTAAAACAAGGGAGAAGACACTGCCACCTTTCTCTCTTTATCTCCTTTTTGGCTTCTCAGTCGCAAGCCGCTCCTGTACATCTGGTGCCTACCCGTACCAGGCTGCCCATACCGTGGAGATTGAACAAACCGTGTGGCCTTCGCTGCGCCCTGCTCGAAATGAACCGTTGGAGCTGAGAACAGAGAACGTTTCAGAAATCAATAAAATTATATTAGCACGATCTTAGTTTTATTATTAACTTAAAACTGAGCCAATTTGACTTTTTTGGATCATCTATTTCACATTTACAGCTTTTCTTTTTATCGACACATAAAAGAAATCTGGATTTGGCTATTTAAAATACTTAAAGATATTTATCAATTCATGAATGTGATGAAAAAGGTCAGAACAAATAAAGGTTCAAAGGATAAAAGAAGAAATTTTTCAATTTTTAGAGGGGAAAAGATCTAGAACTTTGGCTTCAATAAAAAATGGGAATGAATGGTTAGAGGACTTCCAAGAATATTGGAATTATGATACTTTTCATTGGTCAAGTTTTTTTTTTTTTTTTAGGGACATTTAGGCCATTTAAGGCAAACTCACACACACAACGCATACACATAGACTCGAATCCTGGACCTCTTAGTTGGAAGCCTAAACTCTCAACCAATAGGCCAAAGAGAGTTGTGTTCATTAGTCAAGTAAGTTCAAAGATATCTTGATATGAATCCCAAAGTTAATTAGTAGTTGAAAGAAGCTACTTGTTAGTTGTAATGTGGTATGAGTGGAGCTGCGGGCAAACTCATGATGTGTAAAAAATAGTAATCATGCATTGCAATGCAAAATGGGGCAATATCCTATAGTGGTTCTACAACTTAGATAGTGTGGCAACATATTAAATTATATATAATTTATTGAAAAATTAGATAACATTATTGAGTTTATGATTATATATATAATTAGGATGTAAAAAATATAATTTATGAGCATCATTTTTTATTAAAATTGATGATCTAAAAGAGCTCAAATGAATAAAATTGATTTCAAAATTTAGACTAAAATTTTATTTTATAGATCAAGAAAATTTTAAATAACGTAACGTTATTATCTAACACTTGTAGCATGAGTAGGATCCAAGGCTTTTGGGTCATTGCATCCTTCACTTTTTAGGTGAGCGATTGTCTTAATCACGTTTTGGGTCATTCAATCCCATCCTCTTTCTAGGATAGGACATATCACAACCATACTTGATCACCTACTGATTTTAAGCCATTCAAATCCACCACCTTCTAGAAAAGAGATTTTATTGTTTTTGTATTATTCACAAACTTTAAATTATTTATTCCCTCTTTTTTTTAAAAAAAAATGACATATTGTTCTAACAATCTTCGATCATCCACATAGTTAATGTCACATAATCTCATCGAAGAAAAGGAAAATCCAATCACCTTTAATTCCCTTCTAACTTACAAATATTGATTGTTTTCAATTATCGTATTATGTTATGGCCTCGTAACTAAGAACACTGAGGTAGGAATAAATGCTCGTAATGAAATGGTTGAAAATGTTAAACACTCCGAAAAGTTTTATAATAATCTAAAATAAGCATTTATAAAATTATATATATATATATATATACTCATATTTACATGAAGAAACTTGAAATAATATATTCAACATAAATCTACTCTTAATAAACATACGAAGAGAAAGTAACTAAAGCTTGTATTATATATTTACCACATGTATTTATATACTTGGTGAAGAATTACTCCATTAGTCGTGCACAAATTATCACTACAACTCACCAATTCTATTAGCCACTTTTCCAATAAATTGGTCATCATTCAATTGGGTTTTGTTATATATAAATATATAATATAGTGAGTAAACCATAATATAATCGATGAAGAAGTAGTAAGCAAGTATTGTTCCTAGATTAACTTCAACAAAATTTATATGGGATGTCAATAAATGATCTGACCCATCAATTCAATTAGAAAAATTCGAATTCTGATTGACTCGTTTAATAAAATGGTCTGAGTTGGGTCTGAATTCTAAACTCGTTATTAAACGGGAGTACGGGACAGGTTTGGGTTGACCCACGATCCTGCTTTTGACCCGAAAAAGACCCACTTAATATTTTGTCTCTAAATTATATTTATTTGTGAGCATGATATTCATATTTTTTAGCAAATAACTTAAACTCTATAGTTAATAAGTTATAAACAATTTTTTAACTAGAACAAATTAACTAGTTAGATTTGGTTTGATCTTTTTAATTTATTAATTAAACGGGTCATGTTCAAATTGATTGAATTTAGATTTGAAAATTTTCAAATCGAATCCGAACTCATCATGTTAAACTGTTTTGACACCTCTTAAACTAATCAAAATAACTGACAAAATATGGCTTTCCCATGGTTACCATTATGCTATGAATAATAATAAAACTTAATCCCTACGTAATTGGCTATTATTTTATTTACGTGCATGTGCCAAAAAATATATAAATATATTATATATATAGTTATGTGCATGTGATATAGGAAATTAGAATATTAAATTTTCCCATTCCATTAATTGCCCGAATTGACTATTAAAAAATAAAACAAAATTACCATTTTGCTCTTTTTTGCACTTACTCGTCGAAGAAAACTAAGGGCAAAACGATCATTTTACCAAACTTTTAAAAAACTACACCATAGAGCTCAATCTTAAAACACTCGATGCTTGATGCTCGAACAATCAAACGATAATATTTAATAAATATATTTATATTTAAAATGAATTATTTGGAGACAATAATTCACAAAATATTAAAGTTTGTAGATTCTACGAATGGAATACGAGATGTTGAAGGGAATTAAAATAATTAGCAAAATTTTGTCTGACGACGTTGAAGGTATAAAATTACAATCTTGTCCTCAACTTATTTTTCTTAATGAGTAAGAGTTCTATATACAAAAAAGATAAATATAAATAGCACATATGATATTATAATTTTTACTTGGAAAATTTCAGAAAAAGAAAAATTATAGGACTTGCTGCAACTAAAATGATTCTACTATATAGTTGTTTGTTAGAAAGAGAGCCTATCCTTTAAGTTGGAAACATCAATATTATAGACAATTGAATATTTGAATGCTTGTGGTCGAATGATAGCAGCTTTATAATATTCGTTAGGCAGGTCGGTTTGGGAAAATTATTATGTCCGGTGTCCGGATTCATTCGGACATCAATCCAGACGTCAGGGGCGGATCCAGCTTTTTTTTTAGGGTGAGAAAAAAAAAATTTTGGTAGGGGATGGGCAAAGGTGATTTGGAATTTAGGATGGATAAAATTAGGGCAAAAAAATTTTTAATAGGGGAAAAAATACCCTCTAAAATAATTTTTTTTTTAGGGTGGGCATTTGCCTTCCCCCCCCCCCCCACACGCACTACTATGGGGATCCGCCCATGCCAGACGCGCCTTGTCACCCAAATATACCCGGAGCCCAGTGTATCCGGGTGACATGGTGCATCTGGATTTGTGTTCGAACGATCCGGTCACCTGATGTAATAATTTGCCGTCGGTTTGATGGCACTAATCATGCAACGAATGTTTAATGGCATTGGTCGTGCAGCAAAAGTCTGATATTAACGACCAGACTTAGTATATCCTTAATGATTATTCAATATGCTTTTGGCATCTTAATTTATTAATTATTTTAAATTGAATTATTTATGACTCTTCAAATTTATCATATTATAATGTTAATTTCTAAAACGAGCGCATAAAAATTAGAGGCTATGTGATACCTCAAATAGCACCATGAAATTTAAGTTTTTAATTCATATTCATTTGGATTTAGATGATACTTTTGATATCATTGGATTTATCTCATAAAATAATCATTTGAGTTATATATTTATTGAAAATAAAATTTAGACAATCTCAAAAAGTTAATTTTGAAATTTTCTAATTTAGATATTAGAACATTTTGACTCAATATCCTAGTTAGACTTATTAAGATGGATCAAATGAAATAAAAAGATATATATTTATAGAAAAAAAATATTCAATTAAACAGATAAATAAGGAAAAATATTGAATCACTATTGTTGCGTCCTTGAATATTGACGGCGGTAGAGAAATATAAAGATTAACGTCTTAGCTTTGTACGAAGATCCAACACGCAATCAGATAAAAGAGATGGTGTAGGATTCATAAGAGACACCAGAAATTTTATATGGAAACCCTTGAAAAGGAGAAAAACCACGGGATTAGGCCCAGTTTGAATGAATTCATTAGTATTTGTAGTAAATTACAAATGAGGCCCTTCCTTACGGGGAAGGCCTTGGCTTGATGTAGCAAATATATATCATATAAATGGCATTACATATTGGGAATTGAAATAATCACTATTTACATGTTCATTTGGTCGAAAGGATCATAGTCGGCGGACAACGAAGGTTTGATGAAAGACCATATTCGGGGTGATGGTCGTTGGAAGGACTGTACTCGGTGGGTGATGGAGGTCGAAAAAATCATAATTCGGTGAAGAATATCGGAAAGACCATAGTCGGCTGACGACGATGGTTAGAAAGAATATTGTATGGCGATAGAGGTCAAAAGGAATGTAGTCGGGGGGCAATAGTGGTCAGAATGACTATTATTTGACGATGAATGACAGAAGGATTGTAGTATGTCGACGGAGGTCGAAAGAACCATAGTTTGACGACGGAGGTTGGAAGGATCGTAGTTGGCGGGCGACAATGGTCAGAAAGATCATTGTTTGGCGATGGAGGTCGGAATGACTGTAGTCGGCAGGTGATAGTAGTAAGAAAGACCGTTGTCTAATGATGGAGGTCGAAAGGACTGTAGTCGGCGGACGACAATGGTAAAAAAACCGTTGTCTAGCGATAGATATCGGAAGAATCATAATCTCGCAATGGAGGTCGGAAGGACAAAAGTCGGCGAGCGACAGTGATCAGAAAGACTGTTGTCTGACGACAGAGTTCGGAAGGACCGTAGTGGCGGACAATATTGGTTAGAAAGAATGTTATCTAGAGACAGAAATTTGGAGGACTGTAGTTAGCAGACGATATTGGTCAGAAAGACAATTGTCTTGCAACGAAGGTTGGAATGACTGTAGTCTGGCGACGGAGGTCGGAAGGATTGTAGTCGGCGAGCGATAGTGGTCAAAAATATCGTTGTCTGGCGACGGCGGTCGGAAAGATCGTGGTCGGCAGACAATAGTATCAGAGAGATTGTAATAGGACAACGGTGGTCGAAAGGACCGATGATAGTAGGTGGACGGGTATAAATCTGACGTTAGTTTGTGGCTGTCCGGGCAGAAGTTCGGTGATAATTAGTGGCTGGGAGTAAGTCTGACGATAGTTGGTGGTTAAGTGGTGGTCAAGGAGGAGCTTGATAACAAGAGAGATCTCAGATTTCTCTTTCTCTCCTCTCTTATTTTTTTTCCTTCCTTCCTCCCCTGCTTCCTCCTTTGGTCCTTCCTCCATTCAATGAAGAATGAGGGGTTTATTCATAATTTATTTGGGAGTGACATGACCAATAAATAAAAGGTATTTCAAGGGTATGTTGGCAGTAGTTTGAATGGACGATATTAATCCCCTTGACCATGGACAATTTATTGGACATTTAAATGTCTTAATTGTATTATAATTCAGCAATATTGGACTCGTTGGATTCCTCTCGTTGAGCCGCTCGATTTGACTATAACCATATCACATTTGGAAATCATTTGGTTATCCAATTTATGGTTTCAACATTCTAAAGATGCTTTGTCTTTGATTTGGGCCTATTTGGGCTTGGATTGAGTCGAATTTGATGACGTTGGATTTGTCTTTTCGAAACGTTTAGTTTGACTATGTTTGATGATAATAGAGATCATATGGATCCGAATTTAATTTCGAAAATTTCATAATCAATTTTGCCTCGAGATTCGTGTTCGATCAAGATAATTTTTTTGATGATATATCACCTATATATATATATTATCATGATAAGCTTTAAAATAATTTGATGAATGCAATTTTTTTTTTTTTTTTTGAATTTCATGTAAGTAAAAGAATCCTGATTAAAATAAAATAAAGCTTATGAGCTAGTAAACGGCGGTACACGCAAGTATAAGCCGCACCTGCATCCCGTGCCCGAGGTGTACATCCACGTGCCAACTCCTGTCCACCATCACCTCGCTCATTCCCGGCACGTGTCAACATCGCAATCTATTTCTCCTTCTATATAGCCGCCGGCCATCCATTATTCTCCTAGAACTAGGAAACATATAGAGAGAGGGAGAGATGCGCCGCGAAGAACCTCCGTCGCCGCTGCCATGGGAAGTAGTTATTCTGGTCTCTCAATACTTAGACCCTTCAACGCTCGCCACGTCCTCCTGCGTCTCTAAGTCATGGCGCACCGCCATGTCGTCTCCAAACCTCTGGCTTCCCCTCTGCCTCTCTGTCTACCCTTCTTCCTCCCACCTCCTCTCCCTCTCCCCTCCCCCTTCCCCCCGCATCCTCTTCTCCCTCCTCAATCTAGCCTCCCGCCGCCTTCCCCCTCCCCCTCCTCCCTCCCCTCTCCTCTCTCTGAGTCACCTTCTCTTCACTCTCGACGTCTTCATTTCCAATCTCTCCACTCCCCTGCTCTCTATCGCAATAAAAGGTGAAGACTTGGAGAAAGAATTTCACAACGTCTTCCACTTCGACGTCGACGTGTCGGCGGCTACTTCGACGGCGGCAGTGGCGAAGGAGGAGGACGTGAGAGTGGTCTGGATGGTGATGAGGAAAGAATGGGGAGGAGCTTTCATGATGATGGAAGTGAAAGGGAAGGGGAGGGAGGTGGGAGATACAGGGCTCTGGTTTGAGGAAGAGGTTGATGGGCCAAAGTGCTGCGCTGCGGCGGCGGAGAGAGGCGGGATGGTGGCTGAAGTGGGGCTGGTGTTTTCCGGCGAGGAGCGGAGGATCATAAAGGTGAGTTTGGGGTTAATGAGGAGAGATGGTTGTAGATATGTCGGTCTGCGTGATGCTCTGCTTTACTTGCAGAGTTATCTTCTTCCTTAGTAGCTTAATTTTGGGGAATAACCCTACTTTTTTATTGGAAATTTTTTTGATTTCATTGATTATTTATATATTATTTTTATTTTAAAATAAATTTGAAAACTGTTAATGGCTTTTAATTTTTGTATGAAAAGTATTCAATTAATTATCATAAGAGCTGAGGCATTTCTAAAGGCCTAAGGGCATCTCCAATGGAACTGTTTGCCGTTCTTCTCCAACCGAACGGTAATTTTGCCGCTATTTTATCACGGGTGAACAATGCGACGCCAATATTCACCCGCTAATTTTTTGTGTCAACGGGATTTGCCCGCGAAATGGAGAAAGACGATTACGAGACGACGAAGCCCGCGAAATGGAGTTCGATTGGATCAGAATTATCGCATTTTAGAAATTTGTTGTATTTTGCAGCGAAAAATGAGATTTTCGATTGGAGATGCCTAAGCTTTTGCGAAGAAAATGGCTCACTTTTCCTGTCCCAATCTTTTCCTATAAAACCCTAACCTTTTAACTTTTAAGCATTAACTGCCCATTAATCACTAACTCAACTCAAACGGACCATTGCAATTATTAATACTTGCACATTTCAATCATATACCTCCAAATTTTATAATCCAGGCGTACCAAAATGATTAGTAAAAAACTTCGAAAATTATTATAAAATTTTTGAATTCTATGTTCATCTATATCATAATTAACTCTTATTTTGAGATGAAATTATTCTGTGCAGATACGAGCGTCGTTCATAGGTGAATCAGAGCTTTTCATGTCGCCCCTTTGTTGTGTATCGTGACTGTGTATCCATTGCATACCAGATGATGTGACACGCTCTAATTTGCCTTTAGACGGTCTGGTCTTTGCACATAATAATTTCTCTATTTTGAGAGCTTTTAGATGACCAAAAAAAAGTTGTAATTAAGTTGAACAGAAAAGTGAAGGACATGAAAGAGTTGCACTAATGGCGATAAATTTATAGTGTATTTACAAACCACCATCCAAATCGTAGGAATTTCAAATACATCAAAATTGAACTAAGTATTGAATTCCAAATGCACCAAAATTTTACACTGCATTTATTTTATTTTAAATCAAATACCAATTCTCATAACCGTCCATATTACTTCAAATCAAATAGCCCCTAAATCCACTCTTTTGGAATTACTTTGTTTTGTTGACATTATTCACACAGTGGGTCATTAGTAAAGGTCAACTTATGATATTTTTAAATAAAAAATTCTAAATACTCAAATTTTTTATACAAACAATGGTGAACCAACAACCATCTGGGATTTGTTTCACTGTTTACTTTCATGGAATCCTATGTGTTCAACGTAAATGGAATAGCAGACCAGAAGTTCAGAACTCATATTAAGTGTTAAAAAGAGGTCTCTGAACTTAGAGTTAACTGTTCTTGTTTGGTAGCATTGTTGCAATAAGATCCATGGCTTAAATTAAGACAAAAGAAACTCACATAGCACAGTAAAATAAAAGATAAAAGGCAGCAAGTTTTAGAATACACTGAGCACAAGAAGATAAGAGCTAACAAATTTGTCAGTTTACCTCAAAGAAAAAGGTCAAAATAGTAAGGGCAAGAAAGCGAGAGACTCTGAACTATCAGCAGCTTATGTTCCAAAGTTTCACCAGTCGGAGCCATCTGGAAAAGGATCCAAAGCGTTTTGTTTTTCATTAACATAAAACTCAACAATAGCCTTCATTCTTGGAAGCTTATCTGGATGGTAATTCACATGGATGATAACTGGCTTTAACTTCCTGAGTTGAGCATCCTTTCTCACAGTTTTGAAGAGAACTTTGCTATTCATAAAGAGATAGATATCCATGGTTCTCTTGGCTGCATGGAGGCCTTCATATCCAGGGTGTGAAGGATAAAAGAGTTCCTCATTAAAAACTGCTTGGTCCCATGATTTTGGCTCATGAGACAACCGGTGCGCGACGCGGTCCAACAACTCGATAGCTGGAATTGTTGGTCTTATAAAAAAGAAACCTGAATTGTAAACCCAAATACGCATTGTATGAGCATACCTTGCCCAGCCCATTGATTGTTCATCGAAGACATCATTAAATCCATAAGCTGTCATGTTGTTGTGGCCATCGCTCATTGATTCTACATCAGAATCCCTATAAAGATGATCAAATGGATTCTGCAAATAAACTATATCGATATCTGAGAGAAGAACGCTATAACCAAGCTGCAAAAATTCCCTTAGAATGTGGAACTTTAGTCCAGAAACAGCATGGTTGCTGCCTGTCTTACCAATGGAATCAACATTTTCATCTGGAGGTCTACGGTAGACAGGAACTTCCTTTGATTTGCAGAAATTCTCTGTTTCATCATCCAATGCAACCACAATATAATTGGGTATACCCACTCTTTTGATACTTGCAAACCAAACTTCTAGCATTTCTCGTACATTTGAGTTGGCCAATGCAACTATAAGCTCTTTCCTGATAGCAACCTTCTCAAGTATCATTGCTAGACCGGGATTTACGGATTCGTCGGGTAGAACGGATGGGTTGGTTCTTAAACCTTTGACTGTGCCAAAAGGTCCAGCTTTATGTAGCGTTCCTAAAGTTAGAAACTGCTTCTGGGCCTGATCTTTTCCTTGCTCAGCCAACTGGATCTTTGATGACAGTTCCCTAACTTGCTTCTTCAATTCCGCATTCTTCTCTGTAAGTGAAGCTAACTCTGACTTTAACATGTTTAGCCTCTCAGGTGATTCGCATGGAGATGAATTGACCTGGGTTAAAAAATAATTGTTTAGAAAACAAATAAGGTAACATAAAAAAATAGTAAGAAGAAAATGAAAACAGATGTCATTCCATATAACAAATACAAAATTAGATAAAAAAATGTTTGAAAAGATGGAAAAAACGGCTAGCAGAAGCATAAAAAAAAGTGCAAGTTTAGAGTATGAGATAAAAATTTGAGAAAATAGTCCAAAATAGTCCCATGACTATTAACAAGTGTCCATTTTAGTCTCAAAATTTCACATTGTCTTAATCTAACTCCCCAGACTATAAAAAATGACCCAATTTGGTCCTCTGTTAGAAAACAAGAAAAGGATCAAAATGGTCACTCAATTCTTTAGGAATGACTAAAATGATCTCTAACCATCTTGATTCTTGAGGGGCCATTTTGATCCTCAACTTTTTAAAATGGGATCGCTTTGGTTCCAACATCCAAAATAATGGATGTTTGACTTAATGATGTTAAAGTTAGGGCTATTTTAGTGATTTTAATTAAAATATTTATTAAATATAAGTTTCATGTAATTATAATTTAAAAAAAAAAAATCATTTGTTTAATAAAAAAAAAATTAATAGTATTTTTAGTCATAATGTTAAAAAATTTAGTCAAAATTTATAAACTATGATTGGTAAAAAAATTTGTTACCAAAATGAATATTTAACTATATTTTTATAAAAACTATAATTTAAAGATATGGTTATACAATATATTTTTACTTGAAAATTATAAAATATAACTGAAACTTTTAAAATTATAACTAAAAATGCTATTAGTTTTTCTTATTAAATAGTTTAATTAAAAATTTACTAAAATAATTCTAATTTTAATACCATTAAGTCCAATATCTATTATTGTAGATGTTGGGATCAAAATGATCCCTCAAAATAGTTGGTGATCATTTTGGTCATTCCTAAAAAGTTGAGGGACCGTTTTGATTCTTTTCTCAATAGAATACCTATTAAGTTTAACATTAGAAGTTGCATATCTCCCAATATTCACTATTTGATTGGAGTATTTTAGTATTTGTGAATATATTTATGTCATTTCCAAACCCGTATGTAACCAATTAGGTATTCTCCACAAGCATCTTTTAGGCTTGCTGCAAACTATGTGAGGTGACAATCGACGTATTTTATGCTGCAAGCGTTTATTTCTTTTCCCATGGTCGTCTTCTATGCGAGATCCATGTATAAACTCACCAGTTTTTGTTGATTCTAATGTGAGTGGCAACATGGAGACTGGAGACACACAGATGGACAAGCAGGCAACATCAATCTTCTATTGTGATATTGGGCGTGCAACAACAAAAGGCTCGTCCTAGAAGTTCAACGAGAATTACGAAATAGCAAAACAACACATTCCTATCCATAATGGCTTGGAATCTCTGACAATGGCTAATATAGAAAGCATGAAACTTTGCAATGGCTCTACGAAATTGGAAATCCTCATGTATGTATTTTAGGTTTCTTTTTCGTCATTGAAGGTTTATGTGCATTTCAACCTTTTTTTTTTGTGTGTGCAATATAGTTGAGTTCATTGAGGGTGATCGAAGAGAAGAAATATCTTCGTCCATCAATATGAATGTCTATGGAGGGTAAGTTTGTTCATTAGTTTTTTTTCCAGATTTAATAGATGAGTTTTATTTATGATTGTATAGTTCAATATTTGAATGCATTTATTACTTAAATATGAAATGATAAACTATATGCAATAGGTTTCGAATGGCTTAATGACTCAAATTTCTTATACTTTTTAGTGGTTTATCTTAATTTACCACTACTGATTTACCAAATAATGATGAGAAGTAGGGGCATAAATGATCTTTTTTTTGCAAAAAGCAATAGTTATTTAGAAATCTTAAATGTTCATATGAAGGCTTTTCTGAAGTTAGAAATTGAAAAATAAAGTTTGGTGAGTATTCTATTTTACAAGCAATGTGGTATTTTACTACTAAGCCCTGCATCATCTGAATATTGCATTAGATGGTTAATTTAAGTATTATTACATTGCAATTGCATTCTGCATTACATGACATCAAAGATATTTTATGCTGATGTGGGGGAAAAGTGCACTCTCTGTTACATTATAAGCGCCCTAAAAGTATTCTTCTGACCCCACCCGCCTGATGTATATGTGGGAGGAATACTGGCCCCACTTGCTAAAAGTAAATGTGGGAGGTTATGTAACATTGTAAGTACTCTAGGGGTGTAAATGAGTCGAGTCGAGTAGTGACCTTATCGAGCTCGGCCCATCAGTCAAAAAATCAGCTTGAGCTCGTCAGTCAAAAAATCAAAAAATCGTCAAGAAATGTGTTGATTCGGTTGTCTCCTGCACACACTATCTTTCGAGCCTCAAATCGACAAGCCTACTTCCCGTCGTGACTTATGATCCAACAAGAAGAACGTTGTCAAATGAGGTGCAGAGTGGAGCAAGCAACGACGAAGAGATGGAGAAGAGGGAAAGCAAACCCTATTCATGCATACCGCATACACTTTTGAGCCTAGCGCCTAACGCCCTGTCCACCTCGAGCCTAACACCCAGATGCCCTGTCCGCCTGGAATCGCTAATCGAGATTTAGGAATTAGGCAGGATTAAAAAAACAATTATTATTATTATTTTTTATAATATTCAAATTTACAATAAAAATAAAAAATATTTAAAAAATATTGATAGTGATTTGAGCCGGCTCGCAAGCTCACAAGTCGAGCCTCATCAAACTCGAACTCAAGTTCGAGCTCGTGGCTCGATAAGCTTGGCTCGCGAGCTCGTTAACAAGTCAAGCTTGAGCCGACTCGAGAGTCAGCTCGGCTAACTAATGCCTCTAAAGTACTCTTATGGTCTCACTAGCTATATGCAGGTGAGGGAGATTAAGGGAGATATAAATGAAAGTGAAGATATAAGCATGTATTGAGAAATATGCATTATAATTGTTATAATTCATGTTAGTGTTTGAATGGATTAAATTTAAGAAACGTTATGAATAAAGCATTAGCAAATTCTAAATCTCAGAATGAGTTCTGATGGCAAGTGAAAGTGAACTTCTAACTTCTAAGACGAAGTATTTTGTAATGTATATGAGAACCTTCTCTGAAAGTGACAACATAACAACAAGTGAACTATGTAAGTCCAATATGCACTGAAATTCAGGTAATTCATGTTTTGTTTACTAAAATTCTTAAATGCTTATGCCCTCTTTCTTAATTAAATGCTACTTAAATATTTGATGCTTGCAAGGAGTAAGGGAAGGAGTCTACTAAGCTAGTTGAGCTTTTTTTTTTTTTTAATGTTTCAGGAAAGTGTAAATATTTTACCGAATAGATCAAGTGTAGAGGCAAGGTTTTAGATCAGGATTCTCAAGGTATGATTTTGTTATCCAGTGTTAATTGTTTAAGATATAGACATCTGAGATCTGGATTATTGTAAGAATATTTTTAATGAAATGAAAGTTTATTTTTCTGCTTCTATATGTGAAAAATTAATAGCTTAGGTCAAATATTTCTGGTAGATGAGTTATTTAAATTATAGGTTTAAGTCCAACCTTCCATTAGATCCTCGGACATTATAGTGCTTGTCTATGCAGTATGAATTAGGAAAAATCCAGTATCTAACAAGTTTTTCTAAGCATCCTATTTTTTTAGTTATATCCCCAGAATAGTGAATGACAAAAAGAAAGAAAAATTAGAAAACTGATACCATCAGCAAGTTGAATTTTTTGCACCAATGTAAACCAACAGTCTAGAACTAAAGCTTATTTTTAACCTAAACACAATAGCCTTATAAAAGCTTTCCTACATCAAGACAAATTTTATGAGATTTTAAAAAGCTTTCTGCAGCATACTATAAAGATAAACCTTCAAATCCCGAGAAATACCAGGAAATTAGCAAGAGAAAGGAAGAAACTTTAATAATTTAACAAACAACAATTACTGCAATTAAGTATCTCCGTACTAAATAAAACTTATAATTGACCCATCTCATTTTCAAAGACATTAGAATTGCGGACTCTTGTTTTGCATTTTATGCAACTTTCTACTCACGCTCCAGATGAACAAACAAGTATAAGCAAGAAAACTCAAGACCAAAATCTTGTATAATTTCTGGATATTCAACATAATCACTCGATTGTCTTATTCTAGGTTTGCAAGCACCAAAAACCACTATTTGATAAAGCTTGCATAGACCATGCAGTTTGAAAAGTTGCTTGTGATGATCTTTAAGGGCAGCGTATTGACAAATATAAAGCAACAATTTAAAGGTAAGTTCACCTTGATGATTAGATACAAGGTCATTAAACATTGGAAAAGGAAACCAAAGGAAAACTTATAAACGTATCTCGGCAAATATGCATAGCCAAATCCTAGAAATGACCAAACAGTCAATTTAACTACTGATTTATAATCGAACTGCAAATCACTAGATATCAAACATGCACAAAGATAATTGAACATGTAAAGGCTTCAAAGAGTTCCATTAGAAATGTCTGAACCAAAAATATGGATAGTTTAACTGGTTCTCCAGTAGTTGTTGTAAATAGAACGTTAAACCAAAACTATAGAAATTGTTGTTGTTGGAAATGCTACCCGATCAAGGTTCTCCATTAGGAATGCATGCTTATTAGACATTAACAAATAAAGTGCAATGCTATTGATACAAGCCTTTAGTTTCATAGAATCAACATCATCATAGCTTTATTCCAACTACTTGGTGCCAGTTTAATTTCCTAAAATTACGAAATTTATACCAGGCATAAGATAATTAAGATCTAGAAATATTGCAAGTAGAATTCTTTGGCAGGCTTGAGATGATCATATGGAATAAATTCCAATTACTGCTCACTTAAAACATGTTTAAGGTCACATCACATGCAGAAAGTGTCATTAGCGTATGAAAGCTATAAAATACTAAAAACTATTTTGGGAAGTTAGAGTTTGGACTCCCTATCAATAAAAAGGTGTGATAAAAGCAACAAAGAAGACACGAAATATCCGG